TGATAAATGTTAATACATACACACACACACACATACACACACACATGGGCCCTGCAGTACCTGCAGGACACAGAGCATTCCCAGGCCCAGGGGTTAGCTTCTGCTGTTCCCCTGGAGGGATTTGTATTTACTTTTTTTTTTTTTTTTTTTTTTTGAGACAGAGTCTCACTTTGTTGCTCAGGCTAGAGTGAGTGCCGTGGCGTCAGCCTAGCTCACAGCAACCTCAAACTCCTGGCTCAAGCAATCCTCCTGCCTCAGCCTCCCAAGTAGCTGGGACTACAGGCATTCGCCACCATGCCCGGCTAATTTTTTCTATATATATTAGTTGGCCAATTAATTTCTTTCTATTTATAGTAGAAGTGGGGTCTCGCTCTTGCTCAGGCTGGTTTCGAACTCCTGACCTCGAGCAATCCACCTGCCTCAGCCTCCCAGAGAGCTAGGAGTATAGGCGTGAGCCACCGCGCCCGGCCTGTATTTACTTTTGAATCACCTTTAAAAACTCTATGTTACCAAGATTGATAACTTTTCTTATCTTTGTTTCCTCTCTTTTCCTTCCTCGCTTCTTCTTCCCCTGATGCTGTTGAGTAGTTTTACCACTGCTCTAGACGATTCCCTAGAGATGAAAGGGTGTGTGTGAGAAAGAAAAGCATTCCACTTTTTGCAGAAGTGTCTGAGAAGGCTGTTGAAACATTTACAGTTAAGCTTTTAGGTTTTTTAATGATTCCAAATTGAACCATGAATGTACCTGCTTACCCAAAACGGGGATATAGATTGAAGAGATCTTCATGGGCACTGGGTCTGTGGGATGCTGGCGGAACACAACCCACAGAACACAACCAAAATAATCTGTTGATAGAGCGCTGAGTTCACCTTGACAGAGTTGGAGCAGCGTCTGAGGGGCAGGGGCAGGCAAAGGTGGGATATTTGCGTGATTTGAAGGGTCTGGCTTAAGGACGGCCTTTGAACTTGAGTGCTTGATTAGAATTGGGCAAGTTCAGGACATAACAATTTAGGAGAGAGGCACACAGCAAAGCCGGGGCTCTAAAGTGAGTCTCAGAGAGTAAACAATCATTTGATGCTGTGGAGTGTTCTGAGAAGGGGTATTTATTCTGAGAGTACATTGAGTAGCTCTAGTTCTATCTAGTTCAGATAAATTGTTAGGAAGTTCCTGGAACAAATAATGAAGATGTTTTCCATTTTGTTGGGCGCAAGAATTTCCTGGCCCCCAACATAGTTAACTCATGTTAATGGGGCCCATCCAATAGTCAGGGCCTATCTGTGAACACAGCAAACCACACCCATGCACATAGCCTGGTGTTTCCGGTGCCCAGGTCTCTGATAAGGCATGAAATTTGAAAGTCCTTTCTCATATTTTTGAAATTCAAGACGACTAGTCTTAGATATCAAGGTTAAAGATTTCCAGTGGTTAAAATTTTGATCCTTTAAAAGCATTTTAAAGGATCAAAATGCTTTGATCCTTTACAATGTGTCTTAGTATGTTTTGTGTTGCTATAAAGGAATACCTTAGGCTGGGTAATTTATAGAGAAAAGAGATTTCCTTGTCTTACAATTCTGATGGCTGGAAAGCTGGAGACTGGACATCTGCGTCTGGTGAGGGGCCAGGGGGCATCCACTCAGGGAGGGGCCAAGGGGAGCCGGCCTGTGCAGAGATCACGTGGCACGGAGGACGCAGGCTGAGTCGGGCTGTTAGAGCCAGCTTGCTCAGGAATTAAGGGAGCCAGAACTCACCCGCTGCCCCCACCCCTCCCAGGGAGGGGATTGATTAATCTATTCATGAGGAATCTGCCCCATGACCCAAGCACCCCCCTGGGTCCCACCTCCAACACTGGGGATCAAATTTCAACATGGGGTTTGGAGGCACAAACATTCACGTATTGGGGAGTGATGTGTCTCCAAAGTGCCATTCACACTTTATAATATGCAACCCATAAATCCTATTCTGGATTTCATTTAAAACTAAACAAGGCAATCAGTTACAGAAGGAAAGTGACAACATTTATATATGATAATGCATATCTGAGTGGAAAATTCTACTAAAACAGCAGCTGTTTCTTAAGAGCAGGGAACTTTACATTCTTGAATGTTTTTAAATATTTAAAAGGTGGTAAAGGTCAGTACACAGTGCCCTTTTATTTGTTGGGGGCCAATCCAGAACTGTCAAGCATACGCAAAGCAGCTAATGACAGAACAAAATAATTACATTGTTTTGCTCTAAAAACAACAAAAATGAGCTATTTACATTTTCCTTATTTTTGGACTGTTGTTATAACCCATATTAAGATTTCTCAAACCCAATTAATCAAATAAATTATTAAGGTGTCACATTTTTATGATATGTCTTTACAAGGAGAATGCATCATAATCGTGTGGCCTAAATGTGAAAATGATGCTTCTTTGAACAACTTTTCTTGCAGTGGTGATTAACTGACCATTCTTTGCCCAGTGACTCCGTGTACGGAGGCAGCTCAGGACTCTGGCTGGCTCCAGAGGGGTCGGCTAGGGGCAGAGGTGATGGCCTGCAGAAGGGACAGGGGCTCGTCTCTGGGTCAGGGCTGAGTTGGCTCCTGACCTTGGTACATATCTCTAAGGCATAAAGCAAATTCTTTTTTCTCTCTCAGCCTCAGTCTTTTACCAGCATAACACTGACTGTAATGCTTCCATTGCGGTGTGGCTGTGGAGCCTACAGGAGAATTCTGGGAGGGACTCGTTGTCAGAGTGTTAGCACTGAGCAATACTGGGCGTGTCTGGGCCCTAGTGTACATCTCAGTCTACCTAATTCTTATTTTCTTTCCTCTGGATGCGACAACATCCGACAGGCAACTAGACAGATCTTGTTGGTTAGAGCATGTAGGTCCAAAGGTCTACACTGGACTGGCCTCTCATTTATGAACGTGCAGGGCAGTGAATCCCATTGTCCTGGTGATAGAAAGACTATCCAAAATAGTATGGTTTTATTAAAATAGTGGAAAGAACCTATGCTTTGATTTTCAGCCAAATCCATCAGAGGTCAGAGGTCGGATCCTGGCTGCACCTTCCCTAGGGTCATGGTCTCGGGCAAGTTACAGGCTTTGCTGAGCGAGGCTTCCTCGCCGGTTTAACTGGCCGTGGTGAGAATCGTGCCTCACAGTCGAGGGCTGTGTGAGATGAAAATACAAAGCATCACTGATTGTGTCTGACAGTGTAGATAGTTATTAGCCAATTAAATCTGCTTGCTTCGTAATTATCTGCTGAATAATGAGAGGAAATAACTGGCTACGATTCCCAGACCACAATAATGTGGATGTAATGTGTGGAAAGAGATGTAGGAAAATATTAGTTTCATTAATATTAAGAAAATATTTATGTACCACAACAAGTTAATTTTTAAAACTATTTCTAATGGGGCAAGCCAAAGAATTATTCACCCCATCCTTTAATTCAGGGCATTGGCTCCAGTAGAAGCGTTTCAGTCCTATGTCTGAGGCCCAGCACCTTTCATGGGGTGGTGGTGACAGTCTCTGCATACTAGCCTGAAAATGAACACAGGAAAACTCATTATCAGTTTGTATTTCCTCAAATGCACGGCACTGAACATGTTGCCTGATGTAAGAAATGTTAATTATTTTAATTGCTGGAACTATAGTCTCCAGTGGAAATCCAATCCTGTCATTCTCTGATTTTTAATTTTTCTTTGGCATACTGAAGTGTGCTTGCAGAAATTGCAACTTTTTGGCATGGTAGTTTATGCAATGACTCCCTCTCCCACTTACCTGGGCTTTCTGCCTCTTCTCACCAATATTTTAATATTTTCAATACATGGAGTTGCTTACTTCATTTTTCTTACTGACATGCCTTTGCAAGTGCAGTTCCCATTGCCTGCAGCTCCTTTTCCTAAACTTTCCCTGCTAAGCCATGAGCAGTACCTTTCCCAGGAACTCGGGCTTTGTTAGCTAACCCTCACACTGTTGCCACAGGGGCCTGTGGTGCCCTGATCGAGACACCTGTCACTTATCTCGTCATCCCCCTCTGGGCTGTCCTTGCCCAGAAGTCAGGAAGAGGCCTGGCATAAATGTGTTCTAATTTAACATCTATTGTATGAACAGATGACTCTTACTTATCATTCTTTTCGTATTTCCAATAGGACTGGTACTCCTCTTATGACATGTTGGTGACAGAGTTGCAGATACTACTCATTGTTAGAAAATCCCAGTCAGGGCAAGATGCACATAACTCGGCAAACAGTGAGTGAAGACACTGATGGAGCGGATTTTGCATTTTGCAATCTATTTTCGCTGGATGTATCACATGCACATCTTGCACACTTACAGTTGGTGACTAAAGAAAAACTACATTGTCCATCACCAGTTGCGTGCTGACCCCTGCTATATGAGGTCTACCCAGGAACAGCCCGGCTCGCCCCTGGGGGCCCAGACTTCTCTGAAGTCAATTTAGCTTCATTACGTGGATTACATACATTTTTACCACATTGGGGATAAATGGAAATTGGTTCTAGAAATGTGTAAATCTGGGCAGAAACTGGAAAATTAAATTAGGCTGACTATTGGACATAAGAAAAACACACAGGCAAAGGAGGTGCTGTCAATTATTACTTTTCTTTGATTTGAGTTTGACTAGCTTGTATGAATATGAAGATATACTCAGTACCCACAGCAAGTTTGGAATCAGGAGGGTGGGCCCTATCTTTTGTCACTCACTAGATCCAGGTGAATTTGCTGCTCGTGCTAGCAAAGGTGTTCCTGATGTCTAAGCAGCCCCATTCTGGAGGTGTGCCACGGCAAGGGCATTGGTGACTTGTTCACCAGCCAGAAGTCCTGTCCACGTGGGGTAAAAAATAAGCCCAAGCAGACCAGTTATCAGAACAAAAATGCATGGGAACTGCTCCCAGGCTCAATGCACTTGTCTACCTCAACAGGGCTTGTGGTGGGACAGCGGTTTTTGTGGGATTCTAGTCTCTATACAGTGGCCAGAGAAAGATCACATCAAAACTCATTATCAATTTTTATTTCCTACCATACACCAAATGTACAGCACTGAGCACAATTTTGTTGCTTTGATGTAAGAAATATTAAGTGTTTGGAGAAACAGTATACAAACTACTTCAAATAAAAAAAATGCATACATCATCGCCTTTTTGCTGTTTACAAAAGACTCAATTTATAGTATTGATCATTAACATACTTGAAAAGAAAAAAAATTCAGTGCACATCGCAAAACACATCAAGTACAAAGGAGGCAAATAAATACAAACATACTTCACAAAACATCCTGCTCAAACTATGCAAACACAAATAAATTAACCTGAAGTCACAGGAAATTATAGTAATAAATATGTAGGTTGGTAAGAGATTTCTTTTAAATTAAATACAATATATAATAACTTGTTAAAATATTTAGCAAATTAAACGCTTGTTTTTGTAATAAGTGAACTCATTTGTATGCATCTATGAAGTACTGTATAGCAAAATGTTTGCAAGTACATAACTTTAATAGAAAATTTCGTTTGGTGTCTCATTTATAATAGACAGCACATATGGTAGCTTTTTTTTTTAAATTGATTTTTAAATAAACACCGTTCCTACCTAAGAACAGACATTTCATTTTCACTAAACTAAGATTCAAGAGTTCAAATGAACCCCAAACCAAAGAGAAGCCCCACTTAATGCATAACAATGACCACAGTCTCATGGGGGTGGAATTACCATTAAGTATTACTTTTCATTTGTGCGGGTAATAGTAATAAGAGTGGAATATATCAAGCCTGTGAATGCCATCACATTCAATCTAAATATCCATGAGGCTAATCAAAAATAAACACTTTTGTTATAGCACAGAAAATTAAGCCCACACTAAGTTCATGTGTACATTTACACAGAGGCACGTCTGCACATGAAATGTGTGTGCACACCAAAAAGGCAGTTTAGCTGGTTGTCTATACCTTTTCCTTAAAAAAAATAAATATAAAAAAACTTTTGAAACAATGCTTAACTACTTTACAATCCCTGAAATAGACATTGCCTTTACTATAGCAACTACTAAACTCTGATCCATTCAGAAATTCAAGACTGTGGGCTCAATTTTATGTGTGGATGAGTGTCTGTGTGCATATATGTGTGAGTATACCTGTGTGTACCAGTGTGTGTGTATACTTTGTAGCACTTGTAGTTTTATAGCAAGATTTTTATCAAATTGAATGTTGTCTTGTTTTCTAAGGAGGGTGAAACCAAAGTTGCCACTGTTTGAAGTGATCACTCGGATTGGAGTAGCATTTTCTCATGTGTTACTATATTTTCCATTCCTTTCCAGTCAACCCAGTAAGATAAATGCTATTTCAGGGGATATGGTATCTACAAAATTTTCCATTTGGATGTGTTTGTATTTGCTAAGTACAAATCTACACCAATATTGTCACTTGTATATTGTACCAACATATGGCAGGAAAGCCTGGCTGGTCACACCAAGCCTTATTTCTCATCTTGGGGTAAGAGTTGCCAACTATCTGATATGACTTGTAAAACAAACAGACAAATCTGCATCACTAAAAAAGCTTATGTTTCTTTTAAACATTTCAGATAAATAATTCATATTAACTAAAACCGTACAGCCAAGTCGAATACTTTGCTGATTGCTATGTTTAATTATTGCTGACAAATTCTGAGCAGGCTGTTTTCCGGCATCCTGTGCTTCTGTGAGTGCGATCCCCACTAGTGGGCACCCTTTAGCTTCCTCCTCCTCGCGCGCTCAGCTCGCCCAGGCTCATTCATAAATACAACGACCAGTGGAGGGGGCGGGGGAAGAAGTGTGCAATAAAAATCAAACTCGACCATAGTGCAGTCCTTAGGCAAGGATTTCCTTCACACTTTTTTGTTTTCTCATTTAAACCCAGCAAGATACGTGATTTGAGAATAGCATTTCTATTTTAAATCCTATTGGAAAATAAATTAATAAACACACTTGTAAAAATATGGCAGACTTCAAAATGCAGTTAAAAGATAAAAAACTCTTTGATTAGTAATAAATAAATTATAAAAATGTCACATTTATTTTACATATACTTTACAAAAAAAGAGTGCAATGAAGAAATAAAAGAAAAACATATGAAAATAAATAAGATCTAATAATTGACTGCATTGCTTTTAATTGAAAGAGTTTATCATAGTTTTTCTTTCCTTTTTATGTCAGCTGGGGAAAAAATTAGTGCAATGTTGCAGTTGTAAATGCAGTACGGCAACCTTCATGCCTTAGCAGTACACGAACCTCTCACAGATCCATCTGGAGTTTACTGCTGTTGGTAATTTCTGTTGCCCGGCAGCGCTGTGATCCTACACATGGATACCCTTCACTGCCTGTTTGATACTTTCCAGTAGAGCTTTGCATTCCGGGGAATAGTCCTGTTCCAGATTGCTGTACATGTCTGTGAGTGTATTTACATATGCTTCAAAGTTCTGCTCACTGATAGGTCCCTAAATGGAGACAAAACACATTGACTCAATCACAGTGGTTCAGGCTGAGGCAAAAGGAGGGCCAAGTGACCTGAAAAATATCGGTGACCTGGGAGTCTGGGAGGGAAGGCAAGGTTCTATGTGGCTGCTGGAGCTGGGGGAGATGGAGAGAGACAGAATGTGTGTGGGATTCATCTGTTCACTCTGAATTCATGGGATTAACGGGCCTTGCTCGTGCAGTATTCGGGGTTGATTTGGAGCCATAGAAAGGATACGTCCGGCTGCTGAGCTAGACTTCTCAGAACTGTTCTCCTTCTTTTGGGAGGCAGCCTCGGCCACAACTGCATACGCTCAGCACAACAGAGACCTCCTCTCTCTTTCGAAGGGAACGCTGGGGAGGCTGGGGAGGAGGGGTTGCTCCTGCCACATGGTTCCTTTACAGCGCTAGGCTGGGACTTCAGCAATTAAGATCTGAGCAAGTTGCTCTCTATCTAGTTGTGATGGCAAATTTTTCTCCTCCATCCTCAGAGTCCTGTGGCCCAGTTTTCCCTCACGGCGCCCTTGCAATACACTTTTTATTTTTCTATCTGTCTCTGTAGGCAGAAAAACAGCTTCGTAAGATCAAAATTCTTCACCCTTGTTCTGTGTGTTTTGGCATCTCCTTTGCCTAATGTGACTCTTCAAAGAGAGCACACGCTGGGTATGTGTGTATTTCATGCAAGTAAACGGGAATGAATGACACAAAGGGAATGCTACTCAGACACTTTTTGGGCTTCTATTTCCCATCTTTTTGAAAACACATGGCATGTGTCTTACTTCACAAGGTACTTGGGAGAAAGGACTTTTAGAAGGTCTAAATATTGCTATTGTCACTATTTTGAAAATAAGCTTTCTAAACTGGAAGATTATTTGGCTGTGCTAAGCAGGTCCAATCATGATTTTCTGTTCCCTTTTAACTTCTGCCTTTGCTGTGTGTCATGTGTGTCTAGGAAAATCACACGATTGGACGGGGACGGGGGCAGAGTGGATAGCGGCTTTACAGAGGTAAGGCCAGGACCACCTGACTCGTGCTAGCTTTGGAACCTCGACCAAACGACGTGCGCTGTGCGCCCTGCTCTCCCCCACTGCCGAGTGCAGAGGCGGTGCTCGCTCTCTGGTGCTCTTGCGAACATTTTGTGTGATCAGCCTTATAATGCCACCAGAGTGCCTGTGTGGTGACTCTATGAGGGACAAGTTACCTTGTGTGGTACCTATTTTTTATAGCACTTATGAAGAAAAAAATATTAAGGAATATACATTTGAAGTATAAATTAGACCAATTTTAATAAATAATATAATAATATCTAAGAAATACTTAATACTGGCCATAGTGTAATAATTTATTTTCCTTTGTGCTCATTGTTACATTATTGCTTTTTTGGGGGGGAGGTTACATTTGGAATTGGGTAAAATAAGAGCTTCATTCTAGGAAGTTTGGAAAATGGAGGGTTTTATTATTTTAAGCAAAACCAATTGTATTTCTTCATTACGTTGCTGTTGCTTTAAACCACTTTATAAATAAAACTGACAGCCTTGGAAAAATTGTTCTAAAAATGTAGGCTTTGAGGAAGTGAAAACCATTCAACAATGCAGCCCCCTCCAAAGATTTGTCTGTATTTATGAATTTGTAAAAGGAACTAATTTTCTAAGAATTCCAAATAAAGTTATGTGCTGAGTAACATCTCAATGATGAACCATGTATACGATGGTGGTCCCATAAGACTAGATTACCATATTGTTACTGAAGCTTTTCTATGCTTAAATGAGTTTAGATGCACAAATACTTGCCATCATGGTCCAACTGCCTACAGTATTTGGTATGGGAACGTGCTACACAGATTGTAGCCTGGGAGAAACAGGCTGTACCATACACCCAGGTGTGTAGTAGGCTGTGGCTTCTAGGTTTGTGTAAGTGCACTGTGTGACGTCCACACAATGACAGAATCACCTAATGACATACCCCGAACTTATCCCTGTTGTTAAGGAATGCATGACTATAGTTGCATATTTAAGATACATGCTTAGATTTTAGAAATAAGGATGCCTTGCTCACTGTTATGCTTTTTATTTTATATGAGGAAAAGTAAATTATGTATACTTATGTATGAAGAAAGCGAAGTCTGGCCCGTGACTCACCATCTGTGGCAGCTGGATGTCCGCGAGGCTGGAGATGAGAGCTTGGCTCAGCCCGGCCAGCTCCTTGAGCAGACTTTCGTTGTTCTGCTCGATGAGTTTGTTCTCCTCCTCTATCGTCTTCAAGTTGCTCTCCATGGACGTGATCTAAAACAGAAATAACTTGGGAGTACGAGAAGTGGAGTGTGGAAGGAGTACAAAAGGTTTCTCTCTGAAGGAAAATGCACCAGCCGAATCCAAATGCCAAGGGGTGTGCACACTGCAACCTTCTGCACAAAACTGCAGCCCGGTCATATTGCTGCGAGTGTTGCAGTCACATTCCCAAATGTGTATCTTCAGCCCAGACTCCCTGTGAATTGCAGATTTCACTTCTCCCCAAGGCCGTAGGATGGATATCTCAAACTCTGCACCCCCCCAAGCATCTTTTGCTATTTCCTGCAAACCTGCTCTATCTGCAGGCAGTGTCTCCTTTCCAGCTACAGAAACTAGAATGATGCTCGGGCTTCCACGCATCCCGCAGCCTCTTCCTCTCGCAACTCACGTCTGCTGGGCATCTCAATCAAAATATCCAGGACAGGACCACTGTCCCTCCCTGCACTGCTGCCACCTGGGCCCAGCGTCAGCATGACTATGTCACCTTCCCTGAGATCTCATTTCTGCCCTTCCTCAACAGCCACCAGAACGGGTGTCTCTTAAAATGCAAGTCAGAATATAAGTCAGGATCGTGCCACCCTTTGGCTTGAGAGCCCAAAATGGTTCTGTAGTCTTCCAGAATAAAAACCAATTTCTCTCCAGTGGCCCTGTGTTGCCCCTGGGACTCTTCTGTTTCCCACCCCACCGCCCAACACACACTCGCCCAAGGCTATACTCCCGTTTTGCTACCTCTCAATTGCGTTGTTGGGGCTTTTGCACTTACTGTCTGAAACGCCCTTCCCCCAGCCCTGCTTGGCTGACTCCTTCTCTTCTCATGACTTAAATAAATGTGGAGTCCTCCCCCTGGGCCTGCTCCATTTAATAGGGAGATCCGCTGCTCGCCCGGCCCACCCTGTTCCAGCACACAAGACAATTTTATGTTGCAACACAATTTGTGTGTAACACAAAAAAATTTATCCTCTATGATTTCTGTTTCCTGTCTGCCTCCTCCTTCCAGACTATAAGCTCCATGAGAGCAGAGGCCTTTGCATTCTTCGCAAATGGTTCTCGAGAGGAATTCCCATGCTTTTTAAACCAAAGCATCAAGCTCTTTCTGTGTGCCAGATGGCCACTAATGGAAGATCAGGGCATCAGTCACCACGGGCAAGGACATCAGAACTGCATTTCAGACGGATTACAATCTCCCGCCTTACGCTGCTGCGTTGAGGACTTCTGGGAGAGCCAGCAACCACGGAGAGCACAGACGCCCGCACTTGAGGAGAGGAGGGAGGGGAGTGCTGGAGGGCACTCGGCCCTGTGCTTTGCCTCAGTCTCCCTTGCTGGCTTGTTGCAAAAGACGTAGGACTACTGCTTGAAAGCCTTGGGTGATAGGGCTGATATTACAAAGGAGAAAGCAGAATCATGAAACTGCTTGTATTTGTTTCATAAAGAAATTGTTCAAGAGAAGATCCAGTAAGATCTGTTACTAACAAATACTGACACATTCAGAGGTATTCAAGAAAAAAATAAATTAAGAAGTTACTGTTTTACTTGATTTTGAATAAAACCAAGGACTCTCACCTTAAAAAAAAAAGATGACAATTTTTTCCAAGGCACTACATGCTCTACAGCAGACCAATACCTGTCCATGCGCTGTTAGGGGCCCGGCCCAACAGCGGGCGAGCAGGGGCACGTGGGAGGAGCTTCATCTGTATTTACAGCCACTCCCATGGCTTGCCATCCCTGCTCCCCCGTTTCTGTGGAAGAATTGTCTTCCACGAAACCAGTCCCTGGTGCCAAAAAGGTTGGGGACTGCTGCTCTACAGGACTCCTTAGTTGCAGGATGATCTATTTTATTTTCTTATGAAATCTTTGAAGCAACCAAGGCAAAAACATGAGTAAACTTTCCTACAGCTACCAAATCAACGAGGGCTGGGATGACCTTCCTGTTCAGGACCTTCCTGTTTACAATAACTGGGTAATTGAGAAACAGTGTAGTCTAAGATATCAGTATATTTTCAGACACAAAATTTAAAAAATTCAATGCTTTGTTTCCACTACAGAGTATGATTACTTTAAAGATAACCAGTTTTTTTTTTTTTTTTTTTTTTTACCTGGGTCTGAAGTTTCATCATATCTGCTTCAATTTTAAGGTTGGATTCATTCAATTCCTTTATTTCTTCATCCAAATGCCTAATTTCTTCATCACTCTCTATACCTATAAAGAATCAGACTATCTTAGTTCAACCTGAAAATATGACACTGTGACAAATATGAGTCATTTTATGTTTAATTTGTGCTTTGCTAGCTGAAAATGATTCTTTAATGTGAAGTGTTTTTACCAAAACTGTACATATCCAGGTTTCTGAAAAAGTGGATGATAGCAGGTACGGGATTTAACTGCCTTTTAACAAAGAGAAGGAAGGGGAGCAGAAACGCAGCGCCATCGGTGCGGCAGGGCTGCGCCCGGAGGGCTGCGGCGCACCTGCAATGCGCGCCCATTTACCCGGCCCTGCAGCCTGCGGCAGCTCCCTCGCGCCTCTCTCGCAGAGGACACTCGACCCAGAGAGGTCGGAGGACGCCGCAGGAATCACCCACAGAAGTTAAAGGAATCACCCACAGAAGTTAAATGACCTGCCCAAGTTCGGATTCAGAGGCGGAGCTGGGCTTAAACGCCAAAGCCCATGCATTCTGTTGTGCACGGTGCTGCAAGAACAGTCTTATGCTAATTAAATTTGCTTAGCTGAGTTGGACCTTAGGACCCACGAGAGGATGCAGAGCTGGGGCGCCAGCAGGACAGCTGGAGTCCAGGGACACACGCGGGCTCTCCACACGGACGTGCATGAGGAGCAAATGCAATTTAGGGGAAGAACATCAGCCTTAGAGTTTGAATGCTGGCCTTGACTCTTGTGTTTGAATTTCGACAACTTATTTAACTTCTCTTTGTGCTTCAGTTTCCTCTTCTCTATAATAGGCATAATATCTACGTTGTGAAAATGAATGCAATACAACATGGAATGCTGAACACGTAGGAGGCTCTCAATGAATGGGAGTTACTTTCTCGTGATTATTTTATAGGAGTATGAATACGATTTAAAGATTTTAAAAAGCGGGGGAAAGAGGTTAATATTAAGGATGCCAGGAGCAGGATTAAAGAGAATCTCAGCAGTCCAGAAGAATGAGTCTAAACCAGAGTTGGCAAAGAAGAGGGATAAATGTGAACTTCTCCATTTAGACTTAATAAGAGCAATTTCATGAGAGCAGAATGGCAGGGGGGGGGGTGATGTGGGTGGAGGGTAGGGTTGGCTTTACAATTGGTTTGAAAAAGATTTAGGCTCTTATACTTCCTAGGGGTGACAACTTTGGAAAACAGTTAATTACCTACTGAAGTAATAAACATTCATATTCTCCATGACCTCAATTCCAAAAACAAACGGTTGCACATGTACAACAGAAACATGAACAAGATGTAAGTAGCAGTACTATTCACAAAAGCACAACCTGGAAACAAAACACATTCCCCCAAACAACATGCGTGACTTTTAGTACTATAATGTGAAGAGAAAAAAAAGTAAGCCCTGTAAGTTACATGGAATACGGCCTGTTAGAACAGGTGGCTATATTGTAGGTGCTTGGTGCTTATCAAAAGTAACTAGCTACTAAACAGAAGTGGGCCATGCATGGACCAATGAAGACTGTGTTATAAGACTGACCTACCTCAAGGCCTAAGATTTAATAGAAAAAGGAAAACAAACCAACAACTAAGATCTAGGTATCTTCGTACTTATGCAATTTGAATATGAATCAACAGTATGACCCAGCTCCTAAGAAACAACCGACAGTTATGGGGCGCCCTAGTGGAGGCACAGCGTCGCGGGCTCTGCCCGGTCTGGGGGACGCAGGGCAGCTGGAGCGCCACGCGTTAGGGGCCGGAGCGCGGTGCAGGAGCCTTCTCTCAGAGGACTGGTAAGTAAGAGCTGGGAAAGAAAAATTAAAATATTTGGAATCTCAATGAAACAGGCATTTGCAGTGCTATCTGCACTTGAATGTTTTCTTGTTTGAGTGAACGAAATCCTCACACTAAATTTCTTTGACATATTGCTTTTTCTTTCTGTCTTTTTTCAGTAAAATTCCACTTCAGGGAGTGGCATTTCCTACAGAGTATCAGGCCCTGGTGAAGGCGCAGGGCTGTGAAGGAAACGCGCAGGGTGAGGCGGGGAAGGCCTGCGCTGAGGCCAGAGGAGGGGCGAGGGCCCTGGGAAGAGGCGCTATTCCTGCGGGGAGGGAGCAGAGGGAGGCTGCTGGGGGAGGCCTGGGCGCTCCAGGATGGCAGGAAGGTGACTGAGGGTCGTGGGAGCTCACAGGAGCTCAGGTTCACTGACTGTGACGGGAACCAGGAGAGGATTTTAGGCAGGGGGTGGTGATCTGGCTGGCTTTTCAAAATCATGACTTGGATTTCTGAGTAGAGACTAGATTGAAGGGGGAAGAGCAGACGCCAGGAGACGAGGAGGGAGATTACCCCGCAAGTCCTGGCTAGGTCTGGCGCCCGCACAGCTGGGCGGGGAGGCACCGAGGGAAGGAGCCGGACTCAGTGTCACGTGCAGGCAGATTTGGCAGGTCCTGTGGCGGGCGGAGGCAGGGCATGGGCCAAGGGAGGAATCTTGTTGACCACTTGTTTCTGCTGCAGCAGGTGGGCAACTGCGGTGCTGCCTCTGTGATGGGACGGCCAGGTGGGGGCAGCTTGCAGTAAGATAAGCAAAGGGTTAATTTTGGCTGAGTTATAGATGCTTGTGAGAAGACTCTGCAAGTGACAGCCTGAGTTTGGGGTATTGGGATTTAGTTACGATTATGTTTTCCTGATGGCCAGTGTTAATGAAGACACCGCAGCCTCTTAATTAGGATGGGGCCACTTGGAAGATGCCTAATAACAAAAGTTGCATGGGGCTTGTGGAAAAGTTAAGACCATAAGATGGGACCTCAAGAAAGAAACACTGGCATGGGATCTAACATATAAACTCTGGTGAAATTAATAAATGAATGCATTAATGTTTTATAATGACTTTGGGAGTTTGGGGAGGTATTTTAGCCACAGATCAAATTCAGTTAGACTGAATGTTAGACTAGCCAGGTGCTGTGGCCAGTCAAGGAAACCATATCATCTTTTCACTAAATATTTCACTAAATACCCTGTTTCTTTATGGAGTCCATCTATTTAAAAACAAGAGACTATGCTTTCTTTTCATTCAATAATTTTAATATTTAATCAGTTCTAATCTCTGCCTAATTTGCATAATTAATAATACATAATTTATACTATTATCTTTATGCTCTGTATAATTTACAAGTTATGTATATACCTGTATATAGAAGGTGTTCTCAACTTATAAGGGGCTTTAAGTATTGTAGTTATGTTTTTCATATTATACAATCCAAGCAATTATATTCAAACAAACTCTATTATATTTCTTGAGTTAACATTTATTTTTATTAATATATTAGGTTTACAGGTTAAAATTTTACTTCTTTGTTATTTAGGGGAAAAATGGACTAACATAATTTGACTATTTTAGTTACTAAAGGAGTGAGGGGGGTTAGTATCTAGAAAATAATGGTGTGTCACCATATTTAGAACAGTATTTTCCCACATAGAAAGAGCTAGAAGGACCTACCAGGTATAAGAATATATATTTAGATCAACCATCATAGCTTTTATTTGTCCCCCCAAAGCACAGAAGGACTAGCATTCTTTCTCATGAAGATTAACTATTTCTATTATCAGGACTAGTAAAGGTCTTTAAAAAATTAGTGTGGCTATTTAGCTATGGCAAGGATGGCGAAGTGAAGATCAAGTCTTTTAAAATTAAAGTAGACGTGTTTTGGTAGAGGTCTTCCATGTTTGAACTGGTTTATAGATAATATTCCCCTAAAAATTACCTAATTCAATTAATTGCATGGATGATTTGTACTTAATTTAACATAGTATGCTAAGGTTAAAGTTGTATGCACTTTATATTTTATATTTATATTTTATGTTTTAGTACTACCCGGTTTCTTAAAATTTTTTTATAGTTGAGGGAGTGTTGGGGTGCACCTGTTTTAAAGATCATCTGGGGAGCAATGATTGTGGCCATGCTTAAAGGCAGGGGACCATGGGACAGAGTGTTGTTAGACTCCAAATCGCTTTAGGTCCCTTTGATCCTAATGGACCACCAACCTCAACTCAGGTAGGGTTTTTCCTCATGCAAAATCATCAAAGGTTCTTAAGCTTCATCATAGTTCTTAAACTGGCCGTTGGTGCTGGCCCCCTGAACGCTCCACCGTAATCTGATGTAATGTCACAGACTCACTGTTTATTAGCCCTGTGATTTATATTATATTTGGAGTATGGACATTACTGGTTACTGTTTTTCTTGTAATGAGGACTCCTGTGAAATGTTTTCTCCATGTACTTGGTTTGTGAAAGAGTTTTGCTCTGAATTTGCTTACTCCAGTGTGATTCCCATGGTGATTATATCCTTTTTTTGCTTTGGCTTCTAAAAAACAGAGCCAAATTTTCAATCCTTATTTACCCAGCATGACACAGCTCACTTTGCATATTCTTTTTAATCTCCCCTGCTTGTTCCATCTTGCTTCCTTATCTTTGATTTTCCTTTGTCTCATTTTTAAAATTAATTTTTAAGTAGCTTTCTTTTATTTTGTGTAGCTTTGCTCTCCCTATCTTTTAAATACTGTTTAAATAGGATGATATATAAATAAATGCACACTAAACTGTCCCAATCTTACTGCAAATGTACTAAGAGAGAGGCATTTAGGAGTGGGGCATATTTCCAAGGAGACTCAAGGCATCTGGGAACAAGCTCTTTTACTGGGCATCTGGGTGTTGGAAAGAAGGGCAGACGCGGGGCTGTCCCTGCCACCCAGGGCTTTCCCCACTCTGTGGGCACACTGCCCTCCCTCGGCTCTGGGCTGTGCCCACTGTGACGGGGAGCAGCCTCCCAAGGGACCGCTTTACAGAAAGCAGGTGAAGCTCTCGGAAGAGAAGCAGTAGGATGCGTCTAGAAAGCACTTCTCGAGAGTGCTTTCCTGCCCTTGATAGTGCCTATCTTCTTTTTAGAAAATCACACACATGAATTAAAAAGACTGAACAATGCTTTCAGAGAAGGAAAGTAAGCACGGCTGAAAGTCCCCCGCTCAGTTCTAGTCATGCGCCAAAGACACAATGGAGTAGAGTCTCCAAAGCAAAACAGCTGCTCTGCCGCTGTTTCTCAGAGGCTTCAGAAAGGCCATTGACGGGAGCATTGCGGCCTCAGATAACACAGATTACAGGCCTCAAGGAAAACACTCAAGAATCAAAGGAAACTTGGAGGATCCAAACATGGAACTCAGAAACTATGTATTTTACCTTTGAGAGAGGATTGACACTCGGGAAACGTGTAGGGAAACGTAGATACAGGTATAGATATGGATGCTGAATTCAACCATCTGGGATCACTATGGAAATATCACTTTGAGCACAGAAAAACAAAATAAGAGGACGCAAATGCAGGTGTCAAGGGGCACTTACACCAGGAAAACACACACACACGTGACACACAGACACGTGAGAACACACGCACGGGAGCATGCGCACACGCACGAGTCTGAAGGACACAGCTTCTGCCAGTGTGTCTTAATCCACTGTAACCACCAGACTTTTTCTGTTGGAGATCCTTATTAAGGACTAAGGAAGAAACCAAGAAATTGTTTTGTTTTTTTCCAAAGGTATAGTTTTAGTTCAGACCTGAGGAAACGTTTCTTCTCGTACACGGACGTTGCCCTTGCCGCGCCGAGCCCGCTCTGGCACGCACAGCCTCTGCGAGCCGCCGCACCCGGCAGACGGACGCCCCGCTTACCTCCTGTGGCTTTCAGCTTGATGCTCATGAGTTCCTCAGAGACCTTCCCCTTCTTGATAGCTTGTGCGTTGAGAGGACATCCAGACAAGCTTTGAAACAAAAATTACACTGAGGTGCGAAACGTACATTATTTCTTATAAAAATTAAAACATTTCATTCACTGACTACTATTTGTGTTTTTGCCTTTCTACTAATTACATCATAACCCATAGGCTTTTTGTAGAAAGTAGCAAATAAATGTCTATTAAAGCAAAGGCAAAAGGCCCTCAAATAATATTAAATGTTTTGTGGTTTTATTCCTTAAATCAAAGGACAAATAGTCACTGCTAATACACAACCATGATTTAATTCGTTTTGTAAAAATGCTATTCTTCTGCATTCATATGAGTTTGCTTGGTGGTGGTTACTCTATTTTCTGTAAACATGAAATTGTACATTTATATTATGAATAAGAATTGTTCCCAATTACTCAAAATTCCATGCGTAACGAAACAGAATCTAGTTCTTTCTGTTTTTATGCCAAGTGTAGTCTCATCTTTACAGAATGACGCAAATTAATACAAACCAAAAATAACACCCCACTGCACACTCCCCTGGCAAATTCAGCTTGGTTCTGGGAAAGTTTTTAATTTTTTCTTTAACTTTTAAAGCATTATTTTTCCTTAAAAAAATCTACCCTGAAGGAATAAAAGGAGCCAGTATAAGTGTATTCAGATGCAGTCGCTGCCAAGGCGGCCTGTCACATAGTAGTGGTGTCTATAACCCTTTCACGTAATAGTTGCTCTCTTCAGCAGGGTTTCTTTCCTTTAATGTCACCTGTTTTATTTAAATTGCACCAGTATGCAAATGACAACATTGAATAAAACTTGTTTTCCATTGTTTATGATCAGATAATTTTGTTATTCTAAGCAGCCATTAATTCTTTTGCAATTTTTTTGTATTTTTATAGAAACAATTTTTAGATCAAAATAAAAATTATCACAATCGGCCACTTATGTTTCTTTCACACACAAATTCATCTATAAAACAATCATGTCAACATAAAGTTGGGGACACTTGGCAAAATGAAAGAAAATACTCTTCAAGCAAAGCCCTTAAGAAATGTTTGTTAAATTATTGTACCTTTGAAATAATACTAAATTATTCTACATTACAAGTCTATGAAATATAAAAATAATAAATATGTAATATTATAGAGAGAGACAGAAGGTTATGCAGATTACCTAACTTTGGGAAGCTATAAATTATTTCATATAGGAAAAGAAAATAATGAAAAGAACAAACTCAATTTAGAACCCAACTCTTCTATTTCCAGAAGCTTCTCACTGTGAATTGGAGCCTATAGAAGCTTCAGAATCTTCTTTTTAATGAAGAGTTTGCACAAATCTGTTTTGTTTTATGTCATATATTGTATTCTTAAAAAATGTTGAATATTTAGTCAGGAAATTAGATATTTGAAAGTGACCTGTAGTAAATGTATTTGTAACATAAGGGATATTAATACCTCATTAGAACTTCTCTGACCCTCACCCTAAAGGATTTACTTTGTTCCGACAACATGGCAGAAAATTTTCAGAGTGACACAGTGCTGTGAAAAAGTTAATGAAGTATTCGTCCATAATTACATTACTTAGAACCAAAGAACATAGTGAAACTATGAAAGCAAGGCTTTGGTTCCAAAAATGCCACTTGATATTGTGTATCTTCTAATGTAGATATTTTATATCTTCCAGGATATAAAACAAATATTAAATTTAAAGACAATTGGACAGGAAAAATATTTTAAAAGTCCTTTTTCCTTTTGAGACTCCATGTTGGAAAAGCAGAAAAAAATGTGCCCTATATGGTTTTGACCAAACCTGCAACTCTATGAAGGCAATTTTAAATTATATTTTAGGGCAAAATGGCAGGTGATACAGTTTATGTAGTGAACATCATTGCTTATAATATATTAATACACTTCAACAATATTGCAAAGATAAGGTATAGCACTAAATGTGTTCTATTTGTCAATAGGACTTTCAGTTTTAAAGCTACAAATATCCATAATGGCATGAGCATGTGTGTGTGCACGTGTGTGTGTGTGTGCATGCAAGTGCTTTATTTATATCATCTGTCTTCTCAGGTTGTTATTTTTTCAAAGCAGAAATTTTGTCATATAAAGATTTAAAGCAAAGTTGGAAAGTAATTATTTTATAAATATAATACTGATATAATGCGTGGGTCAAATTGTTCTTAACCATCCTATAAAGTGAGTTTTGTAATTATTCCTTTTTGGCTGGGAAAACTTGCATGCACTAGCACCTGTGACAGCAGGGTGCCAGGCACTTGCCAAGGCCCCATTAGACCTAAGGGGACGCAGGATGGTACAGGCTCTGGCAACTCAGTAGCTTTTCTGTGCTCCTTTCCTCTTCTGTCAACTGGGGATGATTAATAACATCTATGTAGCTCACAGAGCTTTGTAAAGTTTAAAGGAATAACCATGTAAGTCACTTACAGCAGCACTCACTGTGGGAGAGAGCCCTGGTGTGTGTTAGCTGTTATTAGGGAACAAGTGATGCAGAGTATTGCACAACCTCAGGGGTTTTAGATTCAAAACACATAATGTTTAAAAGCCTATTGAGTCTATATATACATAGACTCAATAACATTTTCATAAAAGGGAAAGGAAATCACCTGCATTTAACACCTACTATGTGCCAGGCACAAGCAAGGCATTTTGTGATAGTATTTCATCAAATTCTACATATAGTAAACAAAGGGCATCCCCCCTTAAAGAGAATAGCTCACATTAAATCTATCTCTTAAATCTTTTAAGTAGCCAGAGAAATTTCAAGTGAACAGCACTGAAATCCGAATTAATATTTTGTCTAAACTCTTCATTGCTTTTCTTCTCTTAGAAAATAGTATCTTGGCATTAATATTGCAGCTTGTATTTTCGAACTTGCAATTTTCTTTTTCTTATGAAATACATAATATGTAAACAGATGCATATTATGTATATTTGCAGTTTAAAGAATATGGTTATATTGAATACCATGTACCTTAAAACACACAATGTGCCTTTCTAGGACCTTTGAAACACCCATAGGTCCCTCAACAATTGCCTACTCTGTCCCAGAGAGATTAACTATTAACTCAAACTGTAGGCTAATTGTTACCTAGCTTTTTAAAATGACATTTTGCCCATGTTTTTAACTTTCCTCCAACAGAATCACACTGCAAATAGTCTTCAGCAATGTTCCTGCTCAGCACGTGCTCTCAAGCTCACCCGAGTGGCTGTGCCGCCATTTTCAGCACTGTTGTGGCAGTCCGAGTGCGGACACCCCACCTTTTCACCCACTTGACTGCTAGTGGCACACAAGCTGTCCCCAGTCTGGTCGGTACCCCAGCGCCACTCACGCAGGCCTCCGGTTCCAATCCGCAAGAGAGCCTCTGGGGCTAAGCCCCACAGCTCGCGGCTGGGCGCTGGGCATGCTCATTTGTTCATTTTCAATTTGACCATTTGACGGCAATTTGCTTCCTAAAGTGGCACCCCCAGTGACTCTCCCACCTACAGCATGTGGGAGTCCCTGGTGCTCCACATCCTCACCAAGCCTTGGCATCCCCATTTAAAGCTTCTCTGTAATTTTTAAAAATAATTCCATTATTGCTAACAGTTCCCTCAGTGCTCACCATCGTACCGCATTAATATTTCATTAGCAGTGTCAACATGGATATTGCTGAGGTCATTACAAGAAAGTCAAGCTGCTGTGCAGTAACTGCGCCATTAGTGGTGCTTGATTTGTGACTGGTCATTCTGGATATGAAATAATGATTCGAACTCGGAATAAAACAATGTGTGCCATTGTGGACAGGAGCCTGCATTTGAAAATCATCAAAAACCAAACCCCTTAAAAAATTCAAGTTTTCTAAGTTTCACTGCATATACCTTTAAGTAGGCAATTCCTGGAGGCTTCATTTTCTGACACCATCAATATATATCTTTAGAACTGAGCAAAATGTCAAAATGCTCCAACTTTGCTCAATGTGTGTGCTGCTCATAAACAAAGCATCGGGGGCTTCCTAAAGCTTCACCGGGCTTCAGATCAGCATCCTGCTCAGTGGCCCAAGAGACTAGAAGGGGACCCATCGATCAGGAAATAGAGAATCTTTCCGTCTTTTCCTTTAGGTAGAATGTAAACCAAAAAGTTGGACTAAGATCGATATTGCCCAACGAAGGGCCCTGTTGGAATACGTGACACTCGCTGATAAAGGAATTAAGCCATTGTGAACTATGAAAGGGTTTCTGAAGCCCTTCATCCTGTTGTATGCTTAGCAGTTACTGTGTCATCTTCTTTATGGCCACTGTGGGTGAGTCACATCTTCCCACTAGCAAAATGACTACAATTTTGGCCTGAAATTGAACCAGTGCATAAGAGGGAGGGAATTATATAAATATGTAAAGTGAAAGTTTACAATTATGTAACATAATAGAGTAGATATCACCACTTGGAACTGAAGTGAACCATTAAAAGACTGAACCATTAGAAAAGAGCAGCATAAGCAATATTCTAGAACCCCAAAACCAAATGCACAGTTCTTAGGGCACTTGAAAACTTGGTAGTGAATTTTCAGAAATAGGGAAAAGAACATTTTTCATTCTTCAGGCTAGTCAAATATCCCTTCAGCAAGACTCGCTGTTGTGCCGTCTGAAGGACTATAATTAATGACCGTTAGGAGGGCCCCTCCCCCGAGCAATCCAGAGCTGACCGAGCACGACACCACCACAAGGAAAAGACAGAAAACTAATGTTACCTTCTGTGGGTGACAAAAACATTATTTACATGGCCCAGCCCATTGCAGCCTGGCAAGGGACAATGTGGCAGCTCTTGTTTGTTCAGCTTCCAGGAGAGGGAGGCCCCGTTGAGAGGATTCTCCTTCTGTCGCTTGGCAGCCAGGGGACAGCCAGAAGCTGTGCGGTGTGATGTGTATTTACCTGATATGTGACCTTGGCCGTCACATCCTATCACAGGACATCTAGAGAGACACAGCAGACACATTACCAGCCGGGAAGAAGGCAGTGGCAGTTCCAGACCATGCCGAAGATGAGCCATGAAACTGTGGTTTTAAAAGATGCCACTACTGCTAGCAAGACGGCATTGTGCTAGCAGGAACGAAGGCCTGCGGGCGCTGACTTAAGCAGCTGTCATGCATTATCTCACTGAATTTTCAAGGCAGTCTCTTGAGTGGACAGTATTATTATCCCATTGCGTAAGTGGGGAAAAACAAGGCTGATAGAACTTTGGTAACTTGCCACACATTTTCAGGAAGTGAAGCCACGTTCATGCCCACACTTCTTAGCTCTAGAGCCAGCTGCGTCCGCACTGTTACATTGCTTCCGAACAAAGACCAAGGGCATGAAACGTTAACTGCCTTGACCACCATTACATCACACATCACGGACAGAGCTGGAATTCTGGTTGCCAAATGTTTGAATATTGTATTTAGATTATGTTGTAAACAATTTAAATTTCTACATCCATATCTTCATATACCACCCAAGATTTGATAGCATATTTCTTAGAGGAGGGAATTCAATTTTGATACAATTTCACTTTAAGCAAAATGAAAGTTTCAGGGGAAAATGCCACAGTATTTGTCATTCTATAGCACTTCCACAATGCTACTTTCCCTTAAAACAACTAAAAAAGTTATAAATCTTCCCCTTTTACTTCTGCATTATCAAAGAACTGTGGAAACCTAGCTATGAATAAGAAAATTTTCTAGAACCTCCAAATAATCTGACTCTTGCATCAAGAGTCTTTGGGTTAACTAGGGTATACACCTTCCCTGAAACTCAATCCATGCTCCACTGAGAGCCAACCAAGACACCGCCCATTTGACCAACAAGATGCAGCTAACCCCGATGCCACAGCTGTTGCACTTACTTAAGTTCAGGGTCTTCTTTTTCTTCCTTGGTAGGGGTCATTTTGACACCACCTTTCCTTGCACGAGGGCAGCCGGACAAGCTAAAATGTGCACCCAAAAAGAACAAAACGAAATCATGTGATCTTTCTGACCACTGCTGCTGCCAAGCTGATTTCCGTGTCCCAGGCATGGGATCAAGCCTACCTTCTGTGGGAAGCATAGTTTCCAGTCACATGCCCGGAGCCATCGCAGCCTGGGGTCGGACACCTGGGAAAAGAGGAAGAGAGCGCGGGCAGGGCGAGAGGCTGTCATGGAGGACGGGACACATTCAAACAGAACTAAAAAGAATGAGTTGCTTTTCTGTGGGACATTTTAAAAAACATATAATTATCTTTTCTGGTTAATAATTCATTCAAAAATTTTAAGATATATAACTACTGAGTGATGCTTGGTAAACTAAGTAGTAGTTGTTTTTTACTGTACGTATATTTTTCTGTTTTTAAACCTTTAATTGGAAGAAACTTGAAAGTCAGTCCCCAACTTACTGCCATCTAGAACTGCAGGTATCTAAGAACTGCAAAGTTCTTATCTTTCATTTAAAGAGAAAAGTTTTCCAATATTTTTATGAGTTATTTATTTTCTCCAATACACTGTAGTACCATGATGATCTATTAATTTCAGATAAACATTTGTATATGTGACCTCCAGATGTGGAACATTAATATGATTGCCACAAAATCTAAATAATTGACACCTGATCTGTCCTGTCTCATGGCCCAAGTTAAACAGGAAAAATCCTCCAATAACTTACCAATAATCGACCATTACATTTGGAATGAGAAGGGTGAGAGAGGAAGGGGAATTCAACTTCTATTTGGAATGCTGATTAAAATAGCTTTCAATATACACTTACATACAAAAAATTATATAAATTTTCACCTTTTTGTTGCCTTTTAAAAAAATCTCAAATACAAATGAAAACACAGAGGCCATCGAAATACTGCTTTTCTGAAGGTTCTTGTGGACATCATCTGCACTTATTATTTCACAAGTGTGCCCATCCTGGTTCAGATGTCTCCCCAGACAATAGTTCCATTTGAGAAAAACAGTAATCCAAAGAAAAATGTGAACACCATCCCTTTTCTTAAATCTCAGCCTACTGAACTTTTGCAGAATGCTTTTCATATTTAGTCCTGAGGCAGAAAATACAGAGTAAATGCTTCTTTTTTTCCCAGATGAAATATAAAATCAGCACACATCTCTTCTGCTTAACCAAGCAACTTGCTTTGAGTCTTTAATTAACCAGAAAAGTTACATATTTCATAGTTCCCTTTACTATTTCTCGTACTAAAACTCCAAATTTTTGTATCTGTTCATTATCACATCTTCTTTTATAAAATTATTTTTTGAGAAAAATTTTTAAACAACTTAGAAGAAGGGAATACTAAAAAAATTAAGAAAACAGAAGTATCTGAAATGTTACATGGGTTTTAGACACCAAAAGCTGGTTATACTATTTATACAAATACTGTTTTTCCAAGAGAAGTAGCAATACTCAATTTTTCCTAAAAAATTATTATTTATAAATAAATTTAATTAGTTTTGTTTAACACAATTTACTTACCTTTTAAAATTTGTGCCCTATCATATTTTTAAAAGGTAAAAGATAGATTATAATTTTTTATTATTCTATATGTAATATAACAAGATGTGAAAATAAACAAGTAAGAAATTTGTATTAAAAGAAGACAAGAAAATTAAATTAAAAAGATTCTGCATAGCCGAGGATACAATCAACAAAGCAAATAGACACCCCACAGAATGGGATAAAATATTTCATGTTATACATCCAATAAAGGGCTAATAACCAGAATCTCCAAAGAACTCAAGGAAATCAGCAAGAAACAAATCAAACTACCCCATTAAAAAGTGGGCAAAAGACATGAACAGAAGCTTTTCAAAAGAAGATAGAGTAATGACCAATAAAAATATGAAAAAATGCTCAATATTAGTAATCATCAAAGAAATAAAAAGGAAAACTACAATGAGATATCACCTAACACCAGTGAGAATGGCTTTTATCAAAAAGTCCCAAAACAATAGATGCTGGTTTGGATACACAGAGAAAGGAGCACTTATCCACTGTTAGTGGGACTGCAAACTAGTGCAACCTCTGTGGAAAACAGTATGAAGATTCTTTAAAAAACTAAAAGTAGGCCTACCACTTGATTCAGTGATCTCACAACTAGGTATTGACCCAAAAGAAAAAAAAGTCATTTTATCAAAAAGACACTTGCACTAGAATGTTTGTTGCAGCACAATTCACAATTGCGAAGATGTGGAATCAACCCAAGTGCCCATCAATTTATGAATGGATTAATAAAATGTGGTATATGTACACCATGGAGTACTACTCAGCCATGAAAATAAACTAATCCCTTTTACAATAATGTGGATGGAACTGGAGCATCCTCCTAAGTGAAGTATCAGAAGAATGGAAAAACTAACACCACATGTACTCACTATTAAATTGGAGCTAACAGATCAGCACTCATGTGCACAGATGGAGGTAAAGCTCAACAGAAATTATGCAGGTGGGAAGGTTGAGGAGGGGATGGCTGAAATCATACCAACAGGTACAATGCACACTCTCTGGGTGATGGACACACTTATACCTTTGAGTCAAGCAGTACAAAAGTAATCCATGTAACCAAAACATTTGTACCCCTATAATATTCTGAGATTTAAAAAAAAATTAAAAAAATAAAAAAGAAGAAAAGAGTAGGAAAAATAAAATCACTAAGTAAAAGTTAATATACTTGTGATTTTTAGATCTTGTATACTTGGTAGAAATGAGCCAAATTTGTGTTTAGCACTCGACAGTGAAAGGCAGTTGTACAAGCCAAAATACCCAAAAGGTAAAATATTATGCAATTTTCTTAAAATTAGTTGATGGGAATGCTTTGCCACACATTCCTAGGTCTGATTTAGTACATAAATCCTGAAATTAATGGAAAAAATATTGTGTTTAATGATTACATCATTCCTTTAAAAATTATTATAAAGCCCCTGAAGCAAGCAAATTAAATTAAATCCCAGTGACTGGTTGTAGTCATTCCAACTTTTTGGTGAAAGAGTAATTTTGTTATACTCCAGCTGGGCATGATGTGTCACTTGTTGGTCACACTGACACTGGATGAGGAGGGTCCTACCATGGGGGACAAAGGTCAAGGAAGTCACATTGCCCGGCACTTACTTAAGCTCCTGGGAGTTTGCAGCCATGAGGGACTTCAGAGTCTTATCTGCTAATGGACATCCAGAAACACTGAGAGGGATGAGAAAAAACAGAACAAAACACAACACCACATATACAAATCTGACTCAAACCGCATCCTGAGCTGTGAACATATGTTAAATTACTGGAGACTGGGAACATTATAACTGGCTTTGAATCTAGCTTTGCTACTCTAACCAGCCTGGGCTTTGGGGCACCACAGTTATTTCTCCTAAACTCAGATTTGCTCTTTATCAATGAAGGGTTTTAGCCCAACAGCCTCCCCAAGGCTGGGGTTCAGTGACCCAGTGATTGCTGATAGCAGAGTCCATTTTTGTTGCATCACCAGGTGATGATGGTTTTCCAAAGGAAAGCAAACTGTATCAGGGAAAAGCATAAATGGAAAGATTAAACACAGTCCTTTGCACCATTTCATCTCTCACTCCTTGACTTATTATCTGCCCAGGATTGAGGGTGTATTTTCCCCAGGGTAAAGCACTGCTTCAAGTCTCTCTGTTGTCTTTGCTTTGTCCCGCATGTGTCCTAAAGCCAGAGAGAACCAAAGCCTGACATGAACACTACCTTTTGGTTTGTAACCTGGACTACAGGATCAGAAAACCCTTCTGACCAAGAGTCATGATTTCTATACCATGTAACTTTATTTCCACAAAATAAACCAACACCCCAACTCCTCAGTCTCCATTTCCTGACCTAGATATTATCTTGCTTGAATGGGTAAAATAATATTTAAAATAGAACAAGATGAAAATCTGACTGCACACGAGGTCATCAGGTACCTGCGATGAGATGCATAGTTTCCTGTTACGTGGCCGCTTCCATCACATCCTGGTGTTGGGCAGCTGAGTCAATGAAAAAATATTATCATCAAAAGTCAAGTACATTTCATGGATTCCTTTGCTCTGCCTGATAGCCTGTGAGGTAGCTTCTCTGTGCAAGGCAAGTTAACACACTGCAGGACATGCAGAAGATAGTGTGCTAAAGATTTATGTTCTGTAAAAACCAGAAGACTACTTAAAAGAAAACTAAAAGTCAGAGCATGATGCATTACTCCCTTAGTTGTCTGTTTCAACATCACATCCAATTCTCCGATTTAAATGAGATAGGAAAGTGATACTAAAAGCTATGTCCTAGTGAAGTTGTGAGTCAGCAATCTACTTCCTTCGAAAGTATATGTGTTATCAAAAATAAATATTATAAACTCATGCTTTATTATGATACCAGATCTTAGGAGTACTGGCACCAATTATGTGACAGATTCCAGAGAGGAATTTTTGCAAGTTTTTATGAGCAAGGCAACCTAGTAACTTCATAAACATTTTGGAAAACACTGAAAACCTTTGACTGAAATGTAGACTGATAGTTTAGGTAGGAAAGTTGCTGACAGTAAAAAGTAGGCAAGACATTTAGTGAGTAAAGCTCCTGAGCAATTTCATCCAAAGCTTGAACCCAACAAACACAATTGCTAATTCACCGTTAGCCTAAGAATATGCTCCCAGCCCATGGCCAAGATGCTGGCTCTACCAAGATCTGCGTCCCTGACCTTCATTTAATCTCAGAACCTGGCCACGTCCTGGCAATGTGCATCTTATGTGTATTTTAAAAATAATGTAAGAAGGTAGGTTTCCTTGGCAGTTTTCCTCCCACAATTAATAAAGTCCTTGGTTTCTCAGTTGCTTAATTTCCTCTTATTTTTTTTGAAAGTCTCTCACGTGGAGTAAGCAGACTGACCCCAACCCACTCAGCTCTATGTGTGGCGGTGTTAAAAATTGGTTATGTCATTCACACATCTGATTTTCTTTGACATCCTCCCTACAGTAAAAGCTTATTTAAACATATGTAGAACACAGAATTTACCCTTTTGAAGGGACAATTTGGGGTAGATTAACAACATTCCAATATTCTGTGAATTGTCACTTTCTAAGTATTTTTTTCCCATGAGCTACTTTGCAATAATTTTCAGGTAATGTAAAGAAACTATAAGAATTAGAACATTTCCATCTCTCAAAGAAACGTTTAATTTTCAGGGCTTTATACAAGCTGAGTGATTTATATCTTCTCCTTCCTTTTTCCTGGATGGATATCAGAAAGAAAACTCTAGAAGCAATAATATATGTAAAAAAGTAAAGAAAAATTAACAACGATTAAAATTTGGGCTGAGTTATCTCTCAAGTGCCTTTCATTCACTAAATGCAGAAAAATCTTTTCTAAACATGGTACAACCCAAATATTCAGAGGGTGAGAGAGGTGTTTCAACTGCCTGAGAAGTCCCACTCTAGAAATACATCGCCACCTTGTGCTTCAAAACAGCATTGCATTTACTTTATTTTATTTCTATTTTTAAATTACTCCCATTAATATTACCAGGAGAAGCAAAAGAAGTGCCAAGGATTCCTAAATGTCAGCAATAAATTACCTTTGAAATATAATTATAAAATCTTCATTTAATTAGCTGATAACTTTTTAAAGTTTGTTGACATAAAAAGGTCAAGAAATAAAGAATTGGAGGCAACATTGTAGTAGAAAAGTTTCTGTTTAGAATTTTGATGGCAAGATTTAATTTCCAGGCCACAGTGAAAAATCTTACATAATGACGTACCAATATCAGTTGGGTGATATTTCTGGGAAGGTTTGCAGATGAAAATATCACAATTAGAGGAAGAAAATTAACTAGTTCTCTCAGTAAGTGGCACTCAAACCCTAAGCAAATTCTAGAGTAATTAGTGACATAAAAAAAATTCTATTTTGAACAAAGGTTTTAGTAACCAATTAAAGTACAATTATCTGTTGGAAACATAAAGCAAAATATAAGGACAGGGTGACACTAAAGTAGTGAGACTTTTACAAAACAAATATACTAACACATCCACACACGTATAAGTGATATTCATTAAAGCACTCAGCCTGTCTGTAAAACGGGTGAACAATGAGGTCTCTAAGAGAGCAATTTCCTAGGCATTCATATTTTTCTGACCTCAAATGGCACTGCATGTTAATTATGAACCTTTAACCTTTTATACTACATTCAGTTTGGGATGACTTTTGGTAATTTCTAACAATCTACTTTCAAAGGATAAAAATTTGCCATTTTTGAAAATATTAAAAATAGCATTTGGAAAGGCAATCTGTAAAAAGATGAAAAGCCTCAAATAGCCCCTTCATGTGGGAATAAGTGTATGGAAGACCTCAGTGGCCTCTTGGAAATAAACAGTGTTTGGTGAAATTTACGTTCCAGTACGCTTGAACCGTCAACCACCAAGACGCAGGTGAACATGGAACTCACAAGGGAGCACACTGTCAGAGCCAGCAGTGCCAGCCTATGAAGTCCTTGGGCAATGCGGAGTCTAAGCTCATTTTAAAGCCTCTCCCATGTCCCCAGAGCAGACTGATGCTGGACTTGGAATAATTTTTATGGAGCCTCTACTATGTGCAAGGCCCTGCCCTTGGCCCAGCATTTGAGATGTGTCCCTTCCCTGTAGGGGGGGAGACCAGAGGCAGCACAGTAAATATGATGCACCAGTGGTGTGGATGCCTTTGAGAAGAGACACGAATGAAGAGCCAAGCCGCCCTCCTGGGGCTGGTTCTCCAGGCAGACATAGAAAGTGGAGGTGAGGAAGAAAAGATCAGGCCTGGGGTATCAGCGGGAGCCCCAAGGCCTCTCCGGTAAGTGAGCTCTGGGAGAAGAGCTGAGGGAGGAGGAGGACAGGCCCTGCAGAGGAGCGGGAGGTGGGGCGGCTGGTGGGCAGGGAGGGGCAGGGACCTGGGGGCTGGGGAGTTCCATTGCCACTGTGGGCTGGAGGTCACAGCAGGGATGGCAGCCACGGAGTGCTCAGCAGGAAAGAGTGAGGGCAGATGGGGAGAGAAGAGGTCCCAGGACTGAGCTCTGAGGCGCCCCGGTCCTTAGAAGGCCGCATGTGAGTCCAGGAGGGTAACAGTGAGGCGGGAGAAAGGTCCCGAGGGAAGGTGTCCTAGACGCCACGTGCAGAGGACACGCTGCAGGGGCCAGGGCAGTTCTGTGGCGCTCTGCTGCCCAGCAAGAGGGTCGAGGCCCCACAGCCCAGACCTGGCCGGAGGGGGTGAGCAGACCCTGGAGAGCTGTCTAGGAAAGATTCAGGAGGGAGAAACAAGTCACACAGGAGTGACAACTTTCTTAATGAGTTCAGCTATTAAAGGAGGGGGAGACAGAGCTTAGGTGGAAGCTGGGTCAGGAGAGGTTTTTACATTGTTTTTGTCAGAAATACTGAAACGTATTTTACCACAGGCAACATAGAAGACAGGTACAGGCCCCAGGGCCTGAGAGGAAGGGCTACTCCCTGCTGGAAACTCATTCACTGGCAGCTTTATGTATTCGTGTATGAATATACTCGATTAATATTTCATCATTTACATATGAAAAACCGTTTCCCTGCATTTCCCTCCCTCCCTCATTAACGAGTATATAATTAGTGCTTATTGCCTTCAGATACCCCAGTCCTTAAACTCTCCTGAGTCACAGAATCCCTCTGAGAATGGGATGAGAACCCTGAACTCCCTCGGCCAAACCCAATGTGCACACAGTGTGCTCAGGCTGGGACGGCTCCTGAAGCCACGCCCAGGATCCTCTGGGATCAATGGAAAGCAGGTTAAGAATTTGGGGTCAAAACTTAAGCATTTCTAATTGTTTTATCTTGTTTATCTTGCATAAGACTGTCATGTGCGGTTTTTCCACGACTCTCCTGGTTCAGGCCATAGATTTAGGTATATGTTTAACATTTAACTACTGACTGGCTGAAATTGCCCTAAAGCCAGGATATTGTAACCCCAAATTAACCACTCCAATCTCTTAATTCCAGAATTGTACAGGGCGGGGGAACCACTCACGTGATCAGTTCCTTTTTGAGATCTCTTGCATGGAGCTTGGGTTTAGGGCTTGGTATAGAGGCCTCTCCAGCAAACTTCTTTTCCTCTAAATTGTCTAGAGAGCTCACTGGGTCTTTCTGAAAAAACAAACAAACAAACAAACAAACAAACAAACAAACAGAAAACAGAAGCGCAGAAGCCATTAGGGAAATCTGGAAAGACAATGGTGCTGGACTTGGGGCCTGACCTAAGTTTTGGCTTAAAGACTTAGCTGGAATACCTCAGAGGATTTGTATAAGAAATAACTGCTGATGAATATAGCGGCGTCCCTGATTGTTATGGACCTTTGTCCTGATTGAAGGAAGAGGAACTCTACTTGATGGGCACATATTCAAAACGTCCACAATTTGGCAAATGATTACAGAGGCATTTCTTGAGCTATATAATAAAGTTATTATTTTTGAATATTGCAAGTTTTATTGTATAATGAATGCTTCCTACAGAACACAGGAACAGTTCTTTATATATCCAGCAGTAAAACAAAAGAAATATTGCAAAAATGTATCACACAAATTTTTAAACAGAAGAGTCTAATTTAACAGAATTCTATTTCTAACAGACAAATGATTAAGATCTAAATTATTTGTTTAAATATGTAATAACTGTGACTATATAATGGAGACAATTAATTTGATTTTTCTGGATAAATGCTTTTGTTTTCACATCATTTCCTGCTGTCCTGAAATTACCTCTTTTGCTAAGCGGGTATCTTACAATACTTTACTCATCAGATGAAATTTCTTGTTGGATATTACTAATTTTCATGACCTTCTCTTCAGTTTAACACTGATCTTGATCCCATAAGGAAGACTCACTAATCCTTTCAAATAAATTATTTACCAAGTGATATATTATTTCACAGATAACTAATGATGGTTTTTCTCAATCACATAATTAACTTACTTTCATCATTAAGCTTATATCCAGTAAATATAATACTGACTGGATTTAATATTAAAATTAGGTTTACTAACATAGAAAACTGTATTCTTTTTTTTAATGATTAGCCTTGCCATAGGAAGGCCTCAGAAAATTGATCAAAAACTCAGAGTTGTTCCTCTCCATGGAAATCTTTAGTAAAAAGTGAAAGATTTATTTGATCTGAAGAGAAACTGGAGTATGAAAACTGTATTCTAAATCTCAAAAGTATTGATCTATTTTTTGCTAAGGTGAGCAATTTTAAATAATTTTAAATTATCCAAGGTAAATCTCATTTAAATTAAGTGTATATAAAATGCTATAGCAGAACATAATTTTAACAATTCTGATTCTACATTTAAAAGCAATGGAAAAGACAAAAATCTCTGGATTTCCTCAACCAAAGTTCTAAACACTGATCTCAGGCATCAAGGCAAATGTAATTTCCTTCATTGATTACTTGGATAACAACTCACTCGCTTCACACGAGAGCACACTGCAGTGGATCTGCTAGTGAACTGCCTCATGTGACATCATCCCCGGGTAAAATTAGTAGCACCTGATTTTACACAATTTCTTTTTTCATAATATTTATATATTATTTATTTTACTCATAAATGTTTGAAAATAATAGCCAATATAAATACATCATTTATAAATAAAGAAAAATATGCGCTTGATAACAATTGCTCACTAGGGCACAAAGAGAAGTGCGATTTTAATACTGCCTGCCTGGAATCTACAGCAAAATAGATGACTGAAGTTTGTCCTTTCAAAGTTTTACACTGTAAATGGCTAAAATGAAGCAATTCCTAATTTTAAGGCTGTAAACCTGACGATTCCACCATCCGCTCCACTTGGTGCTCTCTGCAGTTGGCCTGGATAGTATTTTCCACTATAATTAAGAAATGTCTTGGCTTTTTGAAAGCAGATACAAATGCTAAATCCAATAATATCTTAATGTGGAATAGCCTTCGTTTTTCTGTTTAGATGCTGAATTTTTCACAAAGATGGCATGAAGTAAAAAGAGCCATTTTATTATTTTCTTTATGATAAAGTTGATAACAAAGTCTCTCTAAGAAGGCATGCGCTTTTATAGATGAACATATAAAAGCTTCCAGTTGTTATTTTAGGGCTGAATCAATACATTTGGGAAGGCAAAAGAATGGGAAATTTTAAAAGAAATGATCAGTTGTGAAAGTTTAAGTCATTATTTACTATGATTTTTATAATCCTCTCCCTTAACTAACAACTTGACCCTTTGAGTTATTTCCCAGAAATGATGGATTCGGAGAACTCCTGGCTTCCAATGATCCTCCTGCCTCAGCCTCCCACAGTACTGGAATTATAGGCTTGAGCTACCACACCAGGCCCGAAATGATGCTTTGAGATTCTGAAGCCCCTGGGGCTTCCTGATGATTTCCGGAGGTCAACACTCGCCGCCGCAGAACCAGCCCCACCCCCATTGCTCGGTAGCCTCTTAGCAATAGTTACATCACAACCTGCCCCTAGGCACGTGGCCCCTCCCTTAAAACCCCATGTTATCCCTTAGAGGAGAGACAGATTTGAGGCAGCTTCTCCTGGCAAGACATCTGTCATTTAAAAAAATCCTTTCTTCCTTGGCAGTCCTCATTATCTCAATAATTGAATTTTTGTGCGAGGAGCAACTGGACCTAGACTGAACCCCCCTTGTGGTTTCAACATCATGGGGAGGCCAAGGTGGGACAATCCCTTGAGCCTGGGAGCTTGAGGTTGCAGTGACCTATGATGATGCCTCTGCACTCTACCCGGGCAATAGAGTGAGAGTCTGCTTCAAAAATAAATAAGTGGAATAAAATAAAATAAAATATAGATGACTATCACTAAAACAATTCTTAGATTAGCTGTGTTATGGAGGCATTTTATATTGAATGAATTCCTAAACAGCACCCATTATAAAATAAATCAATAGCATTTGTAAGAATCATTTTTTTTAAATCTAAAGTATCATTTTGAAAATAATAATTCTATCCTGTGGATGTGTAAGAGAAAACGTGGTGTATGTATGTGTTTAGAGAGTCTATGTGTGCAATGAAATCCCTTTAATGTACAGATGGAAGTTTATGTTGATTTCAGTAAAGACCAGGACATAATGGTGACATGAATAACAGATAATAGCATCTGGCACTCTTAACATTTTAAGCCCTGAAATCTTTGGAGAACTGACAGTTGAATGAAACTGACAGCCCTAGTTATTTCTCAACACTTTCCTTTCGAGATATTTTGAGTTTTTTCCAGATTCAGGATTTTTTTTTAGGGGGCATCTGGACAGGCTATTTCACTGAGAGAGAGAGACAATATTTTCTGAAAATTACCACCAAAATTAAGCAACTGTTGTGCATATGAACTAGATAACAATGAATTAGAACTAATCACTCGGTTTCTGGTTGTGTGGTAGGGCATGAGGGAGGTGGCAGAGGGAGGAGGCAGGTGGGACAGGAATACACCACATTCCAGTCTTCAAACATTGCCCGGGCCCCACGGAGCTATACCTGTAACTCACTGGAAAGTGAGGAGAACGAGCCAGTCCTGTGACTGTTTTCTGGGGTCACGTCATGTGGACCTGCCTGGGTCAGAGGAGCTTTGGTCCTGCAGGAACATCTTTGACACCTTAGGAAGGGCGTTTGGCGGAGCCTCTGCCACACTGTGCCACACATCATTTCTTCATTTTTCCTTTTTCTTTCCTTTTTAATCTTTCTCAGTATTCCCTAAGTTGTCTATTTTTTGGTGAATTATTTTTTCTTTTCCTTCTCTCCATTTCTCCCCTACTTCTTTTTCTTCCTTCTAGAAAATTCCAGGCCTATTACTTTGTTTCCATATGACCAGGAGCAACAACTTTACCTCCCAGAGCCTCAATTTTCTCCTCCAAAAATTTTAATAATAATCCTGTTTTCCAAGGTTGCTGGGGTAATGAGACACTGTGTTTGAAGATTCCCTTGTCTTTATCTTATTGTTTGTAGTATCCCTGTGATAGCTTTTCAATGAGGACATTTAATACCATCTAATTTTTCAAAATAATGCCTATCAAGCTCACATTTCTCCTTGTCAAGATTCGGAACGGGACGGGAAAATGCTCTGCTAGCAGGTCACCTGGGCACAGAGGAGGCACCGAGAGCGCGGGAGGGGAAGCGCGCCTGCGTCGCAGTGGCTCAGAGGCACTCTCGCGTGTGTCCCCATGGCTTCCCCAACAACGAGCCACCCTGTTCAGAGAGCTGTGACAATAAGCACCTCGCTTAAAAAAATTTTGTCAACTCAAACCTAAGGCAAGCGCTTGGAGTCTTAGAACTCACTGAGCAACTCCAAAGTCCTCTGTTACTCTTGGTGACATTGAATTCTCTCTTAGCTTCTAAATTCCAGAAGTCAGAATACTTAGGTTGAAAACCATAGCAGTCAAAGCCTGTGCTTTCAGACCTGAAGTAAGAAACCCACTCTGAAAAGAGCATAAATCTAGTCAAGAAACCTGTTTTTCCATGAATTTGCTGGGGAATGAAATGCGGTCACAGATCCACATGCATTAGATAAAAACAGAGTCTGGTTGAATCTATAAAGCTGCCTAGATGAATCTAGATGTTTTGTGGAATTATGCAAAGAATGGGAATGGGAAATAAAGATAAATGTTTGTTATGAGACCCCATTTATTGGCTCTCTGGGAAATAACAACTACAGCCAAGGAGGTGATGGGGGAGGGCGTCTCTCAGAATATGAAGAGTGCAGTGTCACAAAACTATAATCAATGTCAAACAATATAAGACATCCTAAACGAAAATGAGAATCCACTTGAGGCAAATGTGCTTAGTTACTACTGAAGACTGGGTCCTGTGTCTGACGCTAAGCGTGACTAGAACATTTCTGGGGAATGCATTGATCAGGGTCCATTTACAACACAGTCACAAGGATGAGTACAGACAACCTAAGTGCCACTCTGCACGTGGCGCAGAGATACTCCCAGAAATTAGAACATTGGGATTTTGATCCTGCATGGTGCAGTTATATATTAATGCTTCACAAAGCACTGTCCTTCCTGCAACATAAGGGCTTCTACTGAACCCACAGCCACACATCTTGTGCTTGGAGTCAGGTTTCCCTCTAGGGCTGTAGACAGGATATGCCAGGATCTGCGTGGCTGTAGACTGGCTGCACAGGAAGCAGTCCTATGAAATGAAGGCCCTCCTCCTTGCCTAAAGCTCACATGTTCGTGGCAGGACTGACTCAAAATCCTGATCTCATGATGACTGTGCCAACCAAAAACCTACCCACTTCCTACCTTGCTCCTTACTTCGTTTCAGACAAGTGGTGTGGAATGGTCAAGTACTGTGAACACTGACAGAGTTTTAGATTATACAAATAGATGTAGGTTAGGAGTAACTTCTGTTCTTTGGCACAAGCCTGAGGGGGCAGTGGGCCATCGTGGTGGAGGGAAGAGATGCCAGTGTGCCAGTTCGTGGTAATCACTAAGGTAGAGGAGCTTCTTACACTTGGCAGGTGTCAGTTTCACACTTAGAGTCAACATGTTTTATTTTAATAAAGGTTCTTCCAAAATAGTGTTATGATAGATTAATTAAGGCCATCCTAGATACTTAAGGTGAATTTTAAAAAGCCAAGCAGAATAAAATGACTAAGGAAGTACAGCAGAACCGAATCCACAGCTGCTGTGTGTGTGTCCCCTCACCCCCATGTGCAGTGTGGGTGGTACAGACACAGAGGCTGCCCTGCATCCTGGGGGTCTTCCGGGGGCCCATCCCGGGCTGCCCTGTGCAGAGTTAGCCATTCCTTCCTTTCCACGTCGTGTGCCTGCTTGTGCCACTCTGTTATCCGCAGATTTGGTTACAGATCAGTCCTCCTACCAGACTGTGAGCACATGCATGGTTGAGACACACATGCATGGTGGAAGCATGTCCTAATTGTCACTGCATCTTCAGGACCTATCCCACTGCCTGGACTTTGGAGATGCTGGGGAAAGTGTGAGGAAGGAAGGAAGGAAGGAAGGAAGGAAGGAAGGAATTGAAATGAACCCAATCCTGTGATCACTACTGTGCATGTCGACTTAGGCTCTGAGATGTTAAAGCACATGCAAATATCAAATTCAATCCCCCACCCAAAAAAGCTTCAAAAGCTTCAAAAAGCTGAAAAAGGTGGTGCACACTTCTGCTGAGAATGGCTATTTCAGTTCTTTAAACATATCGACTGGGAAGCCCATCAACAAGTTTCCTGAGAAACAGCAAAATAGGATTACTTAGTGTAATAATTAGCGTCACATCTGCAGGTATATAGAGTCTAAACAATGGGGAGTCCAGGCCACCCATTCTTGTGAATGACACTAAGTAGTCCAGGGCTAATAGGGCCCACTTAGGCGGCTCAGACTGGGGAGATTAAGACAGCCACAGCATCTGACTTTTGAGGGTGAAAACACCTCCCACATAACCAAATACGCAAATATGCCTCCTTGACTTTGGGACAACTTAGACATCCACCACTCACGATCCAATACCACAGACGATGACTCTACACTTGGGTGTGCTAACTCAGTTTCTTCAAGAAACCAAGGAAAGGCATATGGTGTGATTTGAAGATTCTTACTTGCCCCTGACTTGATTTCATCTTTGAACTTTTGGTTCAGAAAGAATGAATAAGCTGGCATTTTGGTGGCAAGGGACACATTGCCCCTCACAGGCTGCTGTACAAAGGGACAGATGCTATAATCCTTTGGGCAGGGCACAAAACTGCAGCCATCATGGGGGCGAAACTCCCCGCAATGACATATTATTTTAGGCAAGTGAAAGGAACAGTTGGATGTGTTTATGAATTTCACCTGAAATTAAAAATCATCATTTTACCAGAATCTGAAACAAGGTACAGAATTATGTATTATCTAAACAGGAATCTGGAATCGAATTTAGGAGGAAAAAGCTAGTAATACTCTGCAATCATGCTCGGTCTTCAACTTATGGATCGACATATTGGAACAATACCTCTTTCTCCTCCTCTGTCTTCCCGTGAGTTTTGCTATAGTTGATAGGAGTGTCCCAGCCCTCCGGAGCACAGAGAGCCTGACAGAATGCCGCATTGACCAGCAGGCTGCTTGTTTTGAATGGGGAAGAGGAAGGAGTTGGAATGGAAGTATTAGAGGAAGTTAGGGGTGCAGCCTTGTCCAGGATTCGATTTTTTTTCATGCTTAAGTCCAATGTGCCATTTTCATCCACTTCTATCTCGGCTCCCTGGTATACAATAGGAAACAGAAAAACATTTAAGCAGTTTGCAGTTATAGCCTAGCCATGTGGGGCTTTTAAGGGATAATTTTAAATGTAAGCTTTTATGTAAGTATATCTGCTTTTAAATCTAGCTTTCTGATTTGTACTGGGTAATGTTCAATTCTTAGGCAGACTTTTAAGGACAGCCCCATTAGTGAGTGGCATGTTTCTGGTTTAAACAAATTAAGCTTAATGTAAATAAGATGCTCCAAATACTAAATGTATTGGCTAAAACGATTATATATACACATACATATATTTTTTTTAAGTTTAGCTTTAAATCTTCTTTTCTAGTTTACAGAATTATCACTCCCAATTCATCATTTAAAGCATTAACATTTGTGTTTATCAAAAGGCATATATAACGTCCCAACCCCCCATCATAATATTAATCTCACATGAGAAATGTGCAAAAATAACCAGCTGGAATAGAATTTTTGTTGGAATATTAGACTAATATGAAAGCAACATTTTACCCTAGGTTATTGAAAGTGGAAAAGCTTTATGAAATCCTGGGGGTGGCTAGGGGGAGACAGTGGGCCCTTCACTCTGGGAGCCTTTAGGTAGCAGTTATGACATGACTATAGCAAAAACTTCAGAGCACAATAAACGAGTTTACTTTCTACATAATTAGTACAAGACTTAAAACTCATTCTGCTTCACAACATTCCTTCTTGGGATACCTTTTGCCAAGTTTTGTTTATTTGTTTGTTTGTTGGAGGGAACAGTACCTCATTCTGCCCCATTCTGTATTTGGTGCAAGTGCCAATAAACTGCTCACACGTTCTGGAGTTTCTATGAGATTCGCAGAGCAGGGTGGCTTCTGCAGTGTCGTGGGTGGTGAGCATTACCCTGGCTGACTCTCAGGGTGGTAGGAACATGCCTGTCATTTTCCTAAATCAGTCAAATAACATCTTTTTGATATTTTCACCATCATCTATCAATTCACAATTAACTTGTTGACAATTTCTCTATTCTTTATTCTTTTGGTTGGAGAGTCTTTGATTATGTTAGCAAACTCTTTAATGCATGTGGTAACAGGTTACTTCCCAGGGGATTTATTTTAACTCTCCCTTTCTCCTCCCCTTGCCCCCCAAACAGGCGCCACTGCGCTGTGGGCTGCCCTGGCAGGGCTCGCTGCCCATGCCCGGCGAGGACAACAAAAGCCCCTCCTCTGCTCGCTTGCTTTACCTGCAAAGTTCCTATTTTCAATCTCTCAGCCTACGAGATAGATATGCTTTTCTGTATTTGTGGGAGGTAAATACACTTCTAATATGTGGTACTAAGATGCTTTGGCCGTATCTTTCTGTCCCTTTTTAGTAAATAGTTTAATCTCTCGTGATAGTTTTAAGCCCCGAATTTGGCAGTACAGCTTATCCGGGATAATAACTTAGTAACCACAACATCTTATGCCATCTGTATAATATCAAATACGTTTTTATACCAGCATTAATAAACCTTAGTTACAAAAATCCAAGATATTAACCATATCAGTGCCACATGCATGCTCTTTGTCTGTGATCTCACAATGCGTTCTGCCAGGAGCGCATCAAAACAATTTTTGGCTTCATAGCTAATATGTAAATAGCAATGAAACAGAGCTATAGTAATCAAGTTTAATGGCCAACATAAAGTAAAATGCTAAATATTGTAGTTGCTGACATTTTTTATAAAAAAAATTTTAAAACTTGGGTTAAGACTGCACAACCAACATTCACATAAAATTCCAGACCTCTGTGACAGATGGCTTAGGAAAAAGAAGCCATGTGACTGGGCTGCAGAGTTTTATAGTGCAAAACCCATAAATAGTGCAGATTCGATCTCTCTGAAAAATACCAACTCTTCCAAGATAACACTAATACATGTTTTAGCTTTTACAGACAAAAATTCTAAATAGTAAATTAAAACAATGAGAGATTCTAGTTATGATTATACATCTCAAGTAATCATGGCTTAGTCAAAAAAAAAATCACTTCTAATGTTTAAAAGAGGCATTTTCCTGCATCCCGTGCCCCAGCCGGCTGCTCTGAGCACCTGACTTCACAGGGAGAGTGGGGGCGGCTCGCCGGGGAGCAGGGTGCAGATGGGCTTTAAGTGAGCGCACAGATGCCTTCAACAATTACACGCCGCGCCAGAGACGGGTCCTTTCTGCCCATAGATGCGGGATCACACGTTACAGCATGAGTTTTTATTCAGAGCAGTATCAATAGGCATCACTTCTCTCTGTGCCTGAAACTCCAAATGGCAGCACAAAAAGGAGGCAAGGGTCTGGGAGGGGCCAGAGCTACAACTGACATCCCCCTTCAAGACTTCTAATATTCTGATTTCTCCAAGTGCAATTTTGGATCCTTATTAAAGTATTTAAATTATATATATATATATATACACTTTTTTTTGAGACTAGTCATAGGTCTAGTACCATGCATGTGTGTTCCAACTTCGGAGGGATGCCCACGGCCATTTATTTCAGCCACTTTTGAGTTACAGATGCTGCCTACATTCTATTTATTCATTCAACTATTGACAAAGAGCACTTTATATTTTTAAGACACTATATTTGGGGAAAAGGAAATTAAAAAATAGATTTTTTTCTGCCTTCAAGGAGCTTATTTTATGCATGTAGGAGATTTTTAGTGAAAGGTAATTTCATAAATTTACTATAAATTATAATTAAACTGAAATTTAAAACAATTACTCATTGTAATCTTTATCTGTACCATAAAATAAGAAGTGACCTAGATTTCCACCAGCAGAGAAATAATGACATCATGCCACACCTATTCAATGGCACGTTATGCAGTCAGTAAAATGGTAATATGATGTGACCGTTTCTACGTGGAAAATACTTATGTCACTGAAAGCAGGAAACAATATGGCATTCCTACAACAACTGCAACTAGGGAAAAAAAAAACAAACAGAAGTTTGTTTTCTGAAGAAGAATAAAAGGGGAAGCACAAAAATTATTGTTATGCCATTGCATTTAGAGAATAGACTTTAAGCTATTTTCCTCCATTATTTTCCAGGCATATGACAATATTATATTGTTTGGACAATTAGAAATTATCACACATTCAGCGATGACATAAAAACAAAATTATAAATTTACTTTAAATATTCTGATTGTGAACATTATTAATTTCCAAACACTGATAAAACAAGACATCATTGTTCTCCTGGTTGGCAAGCTTTCCACGAACATGGGAACAGGTCTCCTGTCATCTCTCCTTTTTCACATGGCTGAGAGGGGGTCAAAATTAAGTGTCTCTCAGTCTAGGTTTCTGCTGTAATTATTAATAGTGCCTGGCTGTCACCTTGCAGGGGATGTGCTCTCATTCTTGCTTCAGGGTCTTTTGTCTGGGGAGTATCTTTTCTGTATTGAAAGCTACCGTAAATATGTTTTCAAAGTAGGCAGGGTATTAGCAATAAACACATGAAATGAAAATATCTTATTCTTATTAAATGGTAATTAAGACTCTTAAGATTATAAACTTGTGAAATATGCTCAATATAAATAGAGTGGTGGAATTCAGAGGAGAATGACTAAGAGAAGATACAAAATTTAAATGAAACATATAACCATTGTCCCAAAAGCTTTGTCTGGGACTTGGGATCATGATCTGCAAAAACTGTTGGGGGCGGCCGACAGTCCAGGTGTCACAAGACCTTTTGGAAAAGAGGTCAGACAGGTGTGAACCCAAATTTCAGTTCCAATAGTTATAGCTGTGCCACTCAGAAAAAATCATTTAATCTCTGTGTTACTGTTTCTTCACCTGCAGAATGGGGTAATAGTGTCTGCTTTACAGAGACTCTAAACGTAATAGAAAGGGTTAATGCAGAGACTAAGCCTAGTTACAATGCCTGGCACATAGCAAGTGCTCCATAGATGGCAGCTAATAATCATAGCACTGTGACATGTCCCTAGGTTCCTGCACACAGGACTAAGGTGCCAATTACTAAATGTCTAGTTTCCTTATGTCTGTATCAATCAGTTCCTTGACCCCTGACCTAAGACCTTTGCAACGTTTCATTCACAATACGCGGTATGATCTGTCCCAATGCTACAGTTACTGGAAAAGGCTGCTTTTGGGGTCTAACCGCCCAGAGGGCCACCAGACTGTTCCTAGTATCAGGCAGCAAGAAAGTCGACACGACATCACGTTGTTTCTAGGCCTTGTTCGTGCACAAAACAGACTTTGAACTTTAAACATTTCAAGCAAGTGTCAATTTTTTGTTTTCTTTTAAGGCACACTGTGCATATGCCATTTTGTCTAAACAGGTGGGGAAAACACCAAAACAAACAACAGAATGCTTGGCAAGCAGCAGCGATGAGGATAAAGATAGACTGAGAGGCCTGTTTTTACCTCTGGTGATCGGGGTGGGAGGAAGGAAGAAAACGGGAGCGCATCTGACTCGAGCTTGCGGTGGGAGTGTGCAGCCCGCTACCCATGGTGCCGGGCGCTGTGCTCCCATGGGGGAGGGGTAACCGTGGCCAGCAGAAAGAGAGGTGGCCTGTCTGTGTCTTACAAATCATATTAGTTCCAAAGTTAGACGAAGGACAGTATACTACACATCTTAGAGCTAATGAAAGTGCTGGAATCAGAAAGAGAGCTGACATTTCATACAAAATTACCTTTAACCATTATGACATCCACTAAGCATTGATAGCACTTATTGTTTTCTCCCGACTTGTCCTTCAATTGATTCTTAAAACACAGGCAATTTTGGTGGTGTGAATGCATTATGTGCATGCTGGGTTGTATTTTAGCAAATAAGTAATTCCTTTGAAAACCTCTGCCTGCAGGATGTAAAGGGCTCTGGTTGGGCAGTGATCGGCAATGTCAGATGCGTGCTGGAACCCTCAGTCCCGGGCGTGACGTGCCCCTGGTGCGGGCTGGATGCTGGTGGCGTGGACAGATGACCGTGTGACAGTGGTATGAGCCTTCAGTGTTGGGGAGAGGCAGATGGGTGGCATGCTCTAGTGTTTGGGCCAAGAGACTTTGGGAGGAGAACATTTTGAAATATCTATAACATTCTTCATTATTTTTAGAGAGTGTAGGAATTCAAAAGTTTTGTTGCCCCTCTGAAAACAGCCGTTGTACCCATGATCTTCCATAAGAGCAGTGATTTTGCAGGTCACTAATTCAAGTCTCCCACTAAACTTGCAGTCAGCTGTGAGCTTTCATGTAGCTTGGAAACAACCTGTACTAGCCCCAACAAGTGGGTGTGAAAGCCATTTCAAGGTTGGTGTCTTTTGGCTTGATTTTAAAAAGCTTGTGCCCATGATGACGCATGATCTGTAATTCATTATCCTATTGGGTGCTTTATGGAACCGAAGAGATGCTCATTGTGTAAAAGAAAGAACTGGGTGGAAAACAGAAGGAAAATGAGAAATCAGCTTCACCGAAGTTCTGATCAAACCCACTGTGAAGACACCCATGCCTGCCTTGGACTTAAGGAACTTCCTCTCTTGAAACCTAGCTCTCTGCTTGGAACAACACAAGGCAGGTGCGGTTCCCAGAGGGTCACTTCTTCTATCCTGCTTGTTGGTGAGCTCCTTGAAGGCAGGTCTGTGACTGACTAACCTGCGGCTGGGCGGTCCTGCTCTTAGAGACCTCCAAGCTGTGAATGCATCTGCCGCGACGACTCTCTAATACATCAGATGCTCAGCTGCGGATGTCTAGAGTAGGGAAAAGCTATCCATTTCCACACCCTTGTTTCTAGATAAGGAACTCAAGAGCTCTGTGGGTTTGGGCTGCCAGAGATAAACACACTAATGACCTGCCAGGGAGGAAAAATCAAATCATAGTGGAAAAAATCAGACAGTATTCAATGCGGAGAAGACCATTTCTGCGTAACTCTACGTCACGTAACGGGCACACAGCAGTGCGCAACACCGACGACAGAAAAGGCCCCGACGGGCGCTGTGACCAGAGGCCAGTTTTCAGGGTTAATTATAACACCTTGGCTTTCTCTCACTTGTGCGAAAACAAATATTTTTTGTTGTTTCAGGAATTTATGAGATTCTCTTCTATACACAGAAAATAGGATCCAACTAGGACAGAATTTGAAAAGCTGTTACAGTTGTGTGCAAATGTGCCTGCGTGTGCGCACGCCGCAGGGGATTCTACGTAGAGTGACATTCGAGGGCACCACATCTACCCTATTTTAGCAACCACTATGTCAAGGGAGGCAATTTTCATGGGAAAATGGTTTTTGAAACTCCCAGCGTAACAAACTCCTTTGAAAAGTTGGTCTGTGCACTCTCTGCTTCTGCCATCCTTGTCATCACACCGATCGTTTGGCTTCTGCGATTGAGACTCGGTTGGCAGTGGGAGGCTGAGCGTGCAGCCAGTTCCTGTCACCTGGGCGTGCCGGGCGAGCCCCAAGGAGCTGCCCTGCCCGAGTGCTCCCCACACGGGCCCAGCAGCATATGCTGGAAATCAGTTATTTGAATTTTTGAAATGTATCAACTTAACAGTGGCTTTTCTGACCAGAAATGCGTTTTAAAGAGAAAAGAATACATATTTATAAGGAAAAAAACTCTCCACTTTTAGTCATCTTTGTTTATACATTGTTTGGTGTCAGCAGTTTAATAGAACATGGAGAATGTAAAGGTTAAAGGCAGAATTCTGAGGAACAGGGGAACGTCTACATGTGCAGAAAGCATTCATTCTAGAGCCATTTGCTCACGTAGTTTAAACAGCACTAATAACTATAATATTGGTACTTTCATTCTCATAGGACAGCCTGAACAACCAAATAATAATGGACTAAGAAGGAATTTATTTTAATACTTCTCTAACTAGATGCTTATTAAGCTATCCCTTTATAAAGGAGAAATTTATTCAGGTTTTAAAAAATAAATTTTAAAATAACTAAAGTTGTATTTTAAAATTTCCCAAATCTGTGTATGTAAATCATTTGTGATTACAATTCCTTTGAATTTGGATAGCTTGGTTTTTTTTTATATTTTCAGAGGATGTGTTTTTCTTTGTTTAAGAACCTCATTTGTTTAAAAATTGTTTCTGAGTGGTTTTTGGCCACCAACTCTTCCTGGGGTTTACTTGGCTCAGCTTCGTCCAGAAGCTAATTCCGATTCTCCTGTCAAATGCGCGGTGGCTCCGTGTTACCTGCTCTCCTGAAGGCCTGGCACAGCACAGGTGAGCAGCTGACCTCACCGGGGACCGGCCACACTTAAAGGGGACATGAGGGCTTTAATGGCCCAGGGTTAGTGTTTAACCCAAGCAATCTTCCACTTAAAGCAAAGGTCACATTTCTTCTCCAATGAGTCTGGGCACTTTATTTCAGCTGGCTCCAGCCATCTAGGTAGGGAAATGATTTCTTTTAACTGACTTAAAACAATCAGAGCTACTGGCCCCAGCAGACTGCAGGGGCTAATGGCTGAGCCGCTCTTACAAGCGCCTCTGTGGATCCCTGTGACTCGGTAGCTCCATGAGCCCCTCACTGTCAAAGGGAGGATCTTTGCTTGCTTTTTTGTGTGTTTAGCAAGTTACTTCTCATTGCCAGTTGGAAAGGAAAGGAGAGGTTATTGGAGACATGTGATTAATTTCGTGGGTTATAGAAATGTGGCGTTTTTGTAAACTTCACAGAATTTGATTTTGTGTTTGCATGCCCTGAGGTCTCAACCCTCCCTGAACCATCTCCTGTTGATTTCATGTATCCAGGTTTTGCTGTGTGTCCTTGGAGAATATTACAGCAACTTAGACTATCTTATGTTATACGATAGTAATATGTGCAGTAATAAAATCTCTTGGGTCAATTTTGCAAATATCTTACAAGTCACTGTTTAATCAAACATTTCTTACCATCTTTGATTTGCAGACACTGAGAAGCTTCCAGTGTTATTTATTTTAATAGCAATCCCCTTTTCTTGTGTGCCAAATTCCCCGTAACAAAAATAGCCTGGAAATCTGTAAATTCTCCCCAACCAGTCTCCATAACTTGCTTCTCCCCAAACTACGGCACACCACCTTCAGGAAGCCACAGAGCAACAGACGTACTCTTTCAATCTTCTTTGAACCCACCACCTCATCCCTGCCCATCTTCCTCTGAGTTTCTCCCTAAGACAGGGCGGGGACTGCTTCAGAGGTAGGAAAGCAGGGTGGTAGCGAATGTGGCTGGAAACACGAAAGGCAGTTTATTCTCACGGTTCAGTCGCTGCCCACCCTCCGGGCTCTTGGACTGGCCTACCTTGGCATGCAGACTCTGCGGTTTGTTGGAGAGGATGTCTGTGGCTTCCCTGCAGCGGGTGGAAAGGTTCAGGATGGCAGCAGCTGCTGCTATGTGGGTGTCTTCACTACACTGACCGTAGCTATAAGAGCTGGCACGGCTAGGGCTCTGTGTGTGGGCGCCTGCACTAGGCAGTCGATTAGGAAATTTCACTGGATTTGAAAAATGCTTTGCTGTTGAAGAGAGATTTGATTAGCAATTGCATGTACGTGGTTTTAGTCATTAAATAGATTTGTTTGTTAAGATATAACTTCTTGCATTAAAATATGTGAAGAATAAATTAAAACACAATCAATCTATTATCCATTGGTACATGAAACGAAGGTGATTCAGACTGGTTTTCACAGAGGTTCACAGACCAAATGATCTGATTGCTGGGACAGAATGCCTATTCTCTTAATATTTTTTGTATTTACACTTCTTATGAAAAAAACTCCATAACTAATGTTATGGGGCAGGTGCATTGGCAACATTTGTAGCAAAAATTGTAGATAAAAAACACACTAGTGAAACCCATCAGGGACTACAGAGAGCTTAAGGCATGTTGATATGAAAGCTATACATCATGTGTAAGGACCAGTAATTCTAGTAGAGGAAAAAAATGCATTCTTTCAATGTTTGTTTTCACAATAACAATTTATACTTAGACATGGAATTATATTTGTATTATTTGATATGCAGGTTTGTTTTGTACTTAAACCAGTAGAAGTTGTTCTTCATCCAACTGGATGGAACTAAATAGATGGAGCCTTTAACGAGCTGGCATTTTGCATATTCAGGGAGAGCGAGATAAGCAAAGGACAAGGAGGAAATGTTCTCAAGGTGAACAGAAAGGCAATTTAGTTACCAAGGCTGAGTTTCCATTCTGCATTTCTGTTGTGGGTACCAAGGCATTACTGAGAGACGGAATTAAACATATTTATCTTTACTCTGTGTGTTTGTAAACATCTTTCAAGGTTACAGAAGAAGCGCCCAAGATTTAATGTTGGCTAATATAAAAGCATTTAGCTATTTATTTTGCATTAAATATTGTATATTTTAAATATTTCATTGTTACTTTTCATAAAACAAATTTTAAACATTACCAAATGTTATTTCTGTAATTATAAGAATATGAAAATGTCACTGAATGTTTGTACTTTTTAAAGTAAATATGCATACTTTGTGAGTACACAGAATGCTGTTATTAACTAGCTTCACCTGAATTAAACATACGTGTGTGTGTGTACACTGTGTGTCTGTACAATAAAATTGTTTGTACACACACACACACTGTATGGATAGATACAAATCATTATGTGTGTATGTGTGTTTGTATAAATATTTTTTCCTAAATCTAACAGGTTGTTGGGGATTATTTATATTGGCTTGGATCTATGTTTTGTTTTGTTTTTGGAGTATAATGTGCTTCTCACTGATGGGCAAGTTCCTTTCAAGTTCGTTTATCCATGGAGGGGTTTTGTATGGTCTTCTAGTTCTCTGAAAGAGTTGACCAACATCAGATAATAAAGCAAATATTCTGCATTTATAGGAGCACTTAGGTTAAGTAACCTTGTATAAGATCAAAGGGATTCCATGGATTTGCAGACTGTTGTAAAAAAATCCATGGACTGTGAGGACTCTAAGTGGGGCATAATTTAACTTCTTTCTTTATGGAAGTTAAGTCATTGTAATGCCAAAATAATTTTCTGTATTTGTTTCCAATATTTACTTTCTCACCTTTTAATTAGAATACTTAAGGACTCCAAATAACTTGAAGAAGTGTGTTTAGTAAAAACATCAAGTTTTATATGTTATGCCATCTCTTCTATATGGATGTGTTATCATTAAAGATTATTAATCCATTTTAAATGTTTCTATATTAATTTCTCAATTTATAGGTAAATATCTCCACAGCAACAAATACTTTTTGTAGTAAAATCTTGATTCCAGAATTGTGGGTTTCTTACTTTTCACTTCTTCCTCCAACTTTAGTCTGAATATTTTTGCTGATTTAAGCAATATTTTAAACAGTATTTCAACATTTTATCTACTAGATTTCCACATTTTCAATAGGAATAAAAATTACTGTATTAAAACAACTATCAAACTTTTCAATATATTAATTCAACTTTCAGCTAAATATTTCTTTAGAACTATTGTATTTGGATTCAACGATGGCACCATATTTATAGAAAAATTAATCAATTGACTATTCACTATATTCTTTGTAACTTTAGTATAAAAAACATTGGTCAACTTATTATTGTTTCCCTTATTTTATTTCACTGTACAATATATTTTCTCTCCTGCCAGCTGTAAGTAGCGTGTTCTACATTCGAATACCCCCAACCATACACACATACACACACATACACACAAGATGCATTTTTGGAGAATAAATATTAGAATTCAAAGCTTACATTCAGGAAATGGTGGTGTTTTTCGTACTTGCCCTGTTTGTACAAGGGGGCGTTTACCAAAAACTTGGGCGTCAAAACTGGCATAATCGAATGGTACTTTTCCAAATTTCTCTTGTTCTTTTGACACCGTGGCTCTGGGAGAGGTGATGGCTTGTGATCGGAAATTGAATTCAATTTGCTTCACTAAGTTTGTCCTGGAGAGAGGGGGAAGTAGTTCAAAAGAAATATAATAACACTATTGGCGAGCGTGTCAGTGTCAGGATTTATGGCAAACAGGCACATCACTGCTGCAGGTTCCCACAGAGACACAGCACAATAAAAGGGACAGGGGACAGCAGGACAGAGGAGAGTGCTCTGGGCTGGAGTGAGAGATGGAGAGATGCCCTGGGCTCTGCATGGCCAGGGCGGTGCTGCTGTTCTGTGTCCCAGCACTTCATCAGTAAAATAGGGATGTGCAGTCCTCCATTCATCTTATGCAGATATGGTGAAGACCAATATTTGATGTTTGTTAGTGTTTTGAGTTCTTTAGAGAAAAGTGCCATGTAACTCAAGTAACTATCAGCAAGTACTGGTAAGGTACTGACAAGGTGTGCACATTCTGCTTTTTAAAATTGTTAATCAGATAAGCAGTGAATAGTCACAATTGTGACTAAGGAAACGTTATTGTATTCTGTTCAGAAGAAGCAACGCTGGCCTCCACTCAGTTCTCCACAGCTGGCAGACGCCTGATGCCTGGGAGGGGTGGTGCAGAGGCCAGAGATTTAACTCCTGAATTTTGAGTGTCTTCTAGGCTTTTCAGCATTTTTCTCCCATCTTCAATCTAAAGGCTTTTGGTGATTTAACTAATATTTTAAATAGCATTTCAATATTCTATCTATTGAATTGCCATCATTTCAATATGAATCAAAATTACTGTATTACAATAGCTATCATATTTGCAATATAATTATCCTAATTTAAGCTAAATGTGAATTAAATATTCTTTTAGAATTATTGTATTTGGATTAAATTAGAGCATCATATTTGCATAGCACCAATTCCAGTCAAGGAAAACACAAACAATTACCTGCTATGGCCTAATAGTAAGAGAACATAAACAAATGTACCTTTTAGAATTTAGCAATATTTAAGACATACTTTTTCTTTTTTTTTCTCCACCAAAACATGCTCAACTCGTCAGAATGTTGAAGTTTCAATGATGTTTTTTGGATTGGATAGAAAACTTTTTATCTGCCACATAAAAGTATTTGAGTCACTAGTTGATCATATTATTACAGATATGAATTGATTTATAGGCCTAAAGTTGCATAAATGTTTTAATCTAAAATAATATTGACCTTTTAAGTAATGAGCAAAATGAAGCAATGTTATTTCTATAGTTAATAAATAACTTGCTTAGGGAGAAACTAGAAAATACAGTAATACTAACCAAGAATCCTATTTTAAGATTTTTAATTGCTACTTATTCAGTAATACATGATCTTCACTTGACATATGTTTCTCACTCATGTGATTTGAATGCCAATTTTGACTCTTTTAATTAAATCTATAGAAGCAAAATATTAAGGGAAGCCATATCTTGAAAATATTGAAATGCCTAATAACTGTGTTTACATTTTAGTGACTCAGTAACAACAGTTATCAGATCATCTATCTTAATCCTGAAATCTCTTTTCTTACATGTATGATTTTTGTGGTAGTAAACATATGACTTCACATTAGACATCACCATACATACTTTATTATTTAGGTATAAGATCTTCCAAACTTCTAGACACTGTGAAGAACCTAGAAGCTACTAGGACCATAAGAGGTATTTTATTCACAGCTATAAATCATGGAATGAAGACTTGTTTTAAAGACATTACATATTTATGTGGAACCAAAGGATGAATATATAACACCACATGTTTTGAATGGAGCTGACTTATGATGGCATTTTCTCCATGCAGAAAGGTGGAGTTGGTCATAAAGGGGTGCTCACCTGACTCATGGCTGCTTAGTGACTCAGAGTTTTGAGTAATGTATGTTACTGTATACTTGATTCTTTTACATTCAATCACAGTATGTTACCTTTGCAAGCAGATGAATTTCAAGTTGAACTTCTGGAGGGATGAAGAGTTCATTTAAGCAATAGTGTCGCCCATGCAGGTCTACTGGGGCTAAGAAGGGAGGCCAGGTGAAGTGGCACCTGGGGACCAGAGGCCCTGCTTTAGAGGAGGCTGGCATGAACAGAGCATCAGGAACGTTTGTATCAGGAGGTTCGTACCTGTGGGCCTGGTCAGGGCACTGCCCGGTTTGGGGAGAATCAAGCTGATTTTTATCCTGGGACATTGCCAATTTTTCAGCTGCAGCAATTGGACAACCAGAAAGACTGTTTAAAAAAAGAAAAGTGGGAGGATTTGAGTTAAAATGATAATGTGATTTGCTTTGGCATGTGCCTCACAGCATACTTGGCACATGCTAAATGTTAAGTCATATTAATAGTTCACTTAGCATCATTCTCACGCTGAAAGATCCCAAAGGGTTTTGCAAACTACGGTGTCAACACTTGTCCCCCATCTCCATCTCAGAGGTGAAAGGTAAAAACTCATTTTTTACAACAAACATATTATGTAAGGGAGAAATAACTACAGTATTCTGATACTTCTTAATATTTTAAGGATAATGTGCTCATTCCAATCGCAATGTGTCCAACTATAGAAATTAGCACGGTAACTCCATGATTTATCTTAGGACCTTTAGAAAAATGTTAGGGACTGAATTTTATATCTCAGTTGCAATTCAAAATGCAGAATATAAAGTTTTGTTGGCATAACGCTCATAAATCAATAGTACCTCATAACCACATAACCTACTTGTAACATAAAATGCAAACATAGAGTCAGCATTTTATATTTATATAATACATCCATATATAAATGCAATATGTGCTTTATGTTAGTTGGAATCTAAATGAAATGATGTCTGCCCTCCACCTGGTTTACAGGCAAAACCATCAAAGCCCTTTTGGTACCTTTATAATGTGTATTGGATGGACCCAAGACGACCCATAAGCAACTCTCCTCTGTGGCAAAACAGCAATATGGGGCTCCAGAGCAAAGGAGAACATGTTCTATTCATATGGCCGTGTGAATATATAACTGCAGCACCTTCTAACGTGACAGTTTTTTCATTGTCATCATTGGCCACTAATATAAACATTTCTATAGAATGGAAATGAGATAATTTTCCTTTCTTCTTGACTGCACACACGTTGAGAATATTTCTTATCTATTTCAAATGGTAACATACTTGAAAGTGATGCAGAGATTTTCATAACACATGGTTAACTCATTGTTTTATTGGTGGAAAGTTTCTCTCACATTTTCTAACGTCAAACGATTAGCATCTCATCAGAATTACCTCCTGTGGGTGTTGCGGTTGCTGTTCACGTGCCCCCTCCCGGTGCAGCCTGGCGTGGGGCACTTGAGCACGTTTTCATGCATGGCAAGAACTGAGCACAAAATATCACATAAAAGGAAAGAATAATTTACCATAAATACATAACACACTAACAAATTTATTTCTCAATTTTGCATCCAAATGACTTTAGTTACATAATCCACCATGCTTCCTCTCCATATATATTCAGATTGAAACAAATGAGCACTTAAGAACTTCAGAAATTAAATCCAGCAAGCTTGTTCAAGTTTTAATTTCTCCAAATTCTATGTTATGTTTACACTAGATTTAAATGAAACAATTCTGCTCATATTTAATATAGACTGAAAAGCTCATAACTTCCCCTTCACATTTCTGTGGTTTTTCCCGGGGGGAACGGATGGAGAATATTATTTGTCAAATAGTTCTATCTTTTCCCCACAGTCTGAAGTTCTGCATATAGTCTGCTTTATTTCCTAAGTGTCATTATTTTGATTATATTTTCCATCCACCCCTCCCAGTGCCATTTGGTTACTGGCGAAAGAGTACGGTTGAGTGGCTAGGCAGAGAATCTGCTTGAGGAACTGCTAACCCGGCAGGACATTATTGAGCTGGTCAGGTTCGGAGACGTGCAGAATCTCACTTTCGAGAAGGACGATGTTGTGTATTCCCCTTTCTGTGATTTGTATGGCCCACGATTAAACAGTAGAGGTAGAGGATGTAATAGATGGATGCTCTACAGCTTAGAAGGAGGCAGCCCTTTCCTTGACCTCCAGTGTCACTGCTCCTGGTGCGGCTTGGGGTGGAGAGATGGCTAGGGCTTGCTCCTGCTCAGGGCCTGCTGCAGGAAGTCCTGAGACAACACCACGGAGCATGTGTTCCCACAGTGCAGGGAGGCCAGGGGGATGATGGTGACTGCCCTGGCATGACTAAAGCGGACTGACCCTGAGCTCAAGGAAGGTGACAAAGGGTGGAGCATTAAGCCTTGTCTTGCTTTTGTACTCTGATGCTGACATCTGGGGACCTGCTGTCCCTGGAGGGACTACCCCTCCCAAGGCTAGTCAATTCCTAGAAAGAGTAAACAGCTTGCCCACAGGCAGACTTTCAAAATGCAAACCAACCAATCTGGAACCCATAACCCAACCACCTCCTTTACTGGGCTCGCACACTCTGGGGCACTACTCCTCCTGCCCTAATCACCCCAGAGCCAGGCACCAGACAATATTGACAGCCCTACACTCTAGAGCCAACCGAAATTATTCAAACTGGCCAGTCTTAAACCTGCTCGCCCCACCTCATCCATTCCTTCACTCAGAAGCCACGGTGAAATCTCTTGCCCACTGTCCCCTCTCCCTCTGCCCCTTGACCATCTCTGTGTGGCCCCCTGGATGTGTGATGTGACCCCTCCTCTTGGGAACTGAGTAAAATGCTGTCTTTTCAATGGCAATTATCTCTTGATCTTTTGGCTTTATTGTACTTCACACTTTCTATTAATACACTATGTTTTAAAACACACGGCTAGGTGGAATTTGCTTTGACACAGACAGAAAACTTTGTTTCCATCCTTAATTCCAAATTGGGAGAGGAAGGGAATGCCACTGTGAGGCTGTGGCCTGAAAGAAGGTGCTCACTTCTTTTAGAAATGGGCAGTACTCACTTTCCAGGGGAACCCGCACTTTGTGGGGGCACCCCGAAAGGCTGCGGTGGTGGGGGTACAGCCCCGTCACGTGTCCTGTGCCGTCGCACCCAGGGATGGGGCACTTGGTCTCCCTCTTTTCAGGTCTTGGTGAATCTACGGAGAAATTAAATTGAGAAATGCAGGTGGTCATTCTTCTTTCCCTCCCATTCAACAGAGTGGCCTTGCAGGGCGACAGTCTCACTTTATTCAGTTTTACTGTCATAAACATTCTTCTCACCGTTGCCTTGAATAAAGCCCTCAACTAAGACCTGTGGAACACAAAACATGTTTTCAATTTTCTTGGTTTTCTAAGCAAAGGCTGACACAGGGCAAGGGAGCGCTAAAATACAGAGATGGTTTTAAGTTGCCACGTCACATACTGTAGTTAAAGCCTCTATGAAAAATCAACCCTATGCCAGAGGATGAACAGGCTCCCAAAAAGAAAAAAAAAGTGAGAAAGAAGAAAGAATTTATTTAAACTGAAAGCATCTCTTATTGAAAGAGTCCAGAAAAAGCCAGATTCGAAATTAAAAAACAAAGACACCACCATATCTGAGGGGCCTCCGTGGCCTTGGCGGGCAGGGGCAGGGGCAGGGTGGTGCCTCCTGCCGTGCGCCCGCCCGTACACCCGCCCGAACTCCTGCCCGAACTCCCGCCTGCCCGTACACCCGCCCGTACTCCTGCCCGTACACCCGCCCGTACACCCGCCCGTACACCCGCCCGTACACCTGCCCCTGTGGGGCCACGGGTCGGGCGGGCATGATGTGCCTTGCACATCGGATCAAAAGTGCTGCCCAGACCCCAGATGGCAAAATCCCCACGGGAGCCACTTGGGGCCAACGCCCTGAGTAGAGGCTTGCCCAGAACGCAGCTCCCGAAGACTGAGGCCGATGGAAGAGGCTTGGGGAGGAACAGCTCTTCCCGGAGACCCGCAGAGAAGGGACGTGCCGAGAGCGGAAGCTGCCGCCCCAGGGCCCAGAGGAGGACATGGGTACCAGCGCCGGGAGGGGCTCCCAGGTGCAGCCAGGCACAGACCGGACACGCCCTAACACCTTTGGGGGTGGGGGCTGGGGACAAGCTTGGGGCCAATCCTCCGGCACACACAGCGCGAGAGTTGCGGGGTTTCCTGAACGAGGATGACCCGTGGCTCTCACGAGTGCCAGCGCAGACGCGGCCTGTCTGGAGACGCGCACGTTCGTGATTGGGGTGGGAGGTAAACTCAAGGCGGACCTGCATTCCTGCAGCCCAACCCGCCCCCACTGCCCCAGCTCGCAGACGACGCGGGGAAGGGAGCCCGACCCCGCGGCCTCGGGCGGGCGAAAGCGCGGGGCGCGGAGAGGGCGCGGGGCGCGGAGAGGGCGCGGGGCGCGGAGAGGGCGCGGGGCGCGGAGAGGGCGCGGGGCGCGGAGGCTCAGAGGGCGAAGCATCAGGGATGATGAGCACGCTTGATGCTAAGAGCGCCGGTAAACACTCGGTGTGACACTGCCCTAGAAGCTGGGGGCGATGGAGTAGGAGAAGGGCCCTGTGCCGCGCGAGGGTGTGGCCCCCATAGGCCCCTGCTGGACCGCAGAGAGAACAGGCCACTGCCGCGGTGCCACAGACCACTCCAGGGCGGTATGTCGGGAGAGCAAACGTGCCCTGTGACACCGGGTCATCCCTGTTGCTGGATTATAACGGTCCTGGGCAAATGGGGCGCACTGGGCCGCGTGCAATGCCCCCTGCGGCCGGTCTCGCAGGGAGGGGAGGGCCGGGGCTGGGGCGAGCAGGCAGACATGTCAAGGAGAGGCGAATCTAAACGCCGTGATGTGGAGACTGTTCTCTTTGTGTTTTGTAAGAGGCAAAGATGCATCTGAAGTTTTGTGATGTTCTATGATTTTGCAGATACATGTTCTATTTAATCCCCAAAGAGTGCCAAGTTTCAAGTGGATGTGGCCCTGTGGAACCTGCAGACCCCTAGTCAAAATCCTTGAAGTCTGATCAACAGGAAGCGGGGAGGGCTGGCGCCCTTCTGGAATAAGGTAGAAAAAGGAAGAGCAACAATGTGTATTTGATGCCCTTCCTCTCTTGGCTCTTGTCCAGGTGAGGCCACATTTCTAAACCATGTTGAAAGGGTTGGCATGGTACGTTCGGCTCCTGCCACACTGCGTGTCTGCAGGAAGCCAGAGAGGGTGTTGGAGATAAGGCAGGGCTGGCACCTGCCCAGGTGGGGCCCGACAGTCCACCCTGCACCTTTGTCTGCTCGCCTCTCCTCTGCTGGGCGAAACACAGATGCGGACATAATGCCCTGGAGCGCAGAACCTGTGTGCATGATAAGGAGCCAGAAGCTGGGGGTGACTCTCAAGCCTGGCTCTTCTTCTTCTATTTTCTTTGCACAGCGTTGCATAATGAGGGTGACCTTATACTCTGGTGATGTTACATCCTTGCTTTCCTGGGACTGTCCTCATTCATTCCTGATACTCTTGTACGATTGCTCATATTGTTCCCACTTTCTCTACTGTGGGCTGGGCAGTAAATTACATGGCAACTCCACTTACACTGCGACCTACAGTCTCACTAAATGCTTAGTAGTAACCGTGTTAGCAAATTTATTTTATAATTGCTGACTCATCAGAAGACCTGGGTAAATCCATACTTTAAAAGCCTAGCGTTCTCTCCGTAATGGCAAAATTGCATGGGCAAGGTGTATGGGAAGCGAGGATGTTATTTTGGAGAATATGGCTATCAGCTGGGATGGGTATTGACTTAAGAGCATGGCATTCATGTCAGAGGAAAAAATCTCCCTCTTGTGCCACCTTCCTTGCCTGTCTCACACTCATCTGGTCTCGATCTCCTCGCAAAGATTGTTAATACCCCAGAGCGGGAACATGCCCTGTGCAGTAGGATATGCTACTGACTCATCCAGCCCTCGTAGTAACTCTGTACATCTCTAACTGGCCAACTTTTACAAATACAGATTCTATTGCCTTCTTAATTTTTGAAAACAAAAAAGTTTTAAAAGTTCTATAACCAAAGGATTGTCAAGTAGTTTAAACTATGACTCAAGTAATTAAAAGTTTCTACAAATATTGGATTTAATTGGCTGTAAGATATCATCAATTGTAAAAGGAAACCTCATTTTATATGCTATTAAGAAATAAAGAATGACTAGTACTCAAACTAGGGCACACCCTTCTGATTTAAGAGATGTTAAAATGGGTAAACTATATCTCTTAGAATCAATAAAATACAGTATATTAGAAATTGTGGATTTGGGGAATTTGAAGTACATTTTATCTTTCTTTCTGATTTTGTAGTTCTTTTAAAAAAAGGTTAATTCAACAAGTTGCATATTAGTGAGAGTGCACACAGCTAAGCACAGTGTCCTGTCCCAAACCACACACTAGTCCTTAATATTCTGTCCCCTCCCTGCCCCTTGCAGGATGTTTGTGTAGCTTTGCTATCTTGCTCCTCACATTATTTTATCCTTTTTTGTTTTCTCGGCTCCGAGCTGAGACTACAGGTGAGTGCTAAAATGGATTTAAAATGACAAAATACACAATTTGTTTCTGGATAAATCTCAGCAATCAGAACTACTAACCCATACTAACATGTTATTTTTATAAGCCCTTGGGGTCCACTGCTTGGTTTTCTCTAAGATATTCCTCCCCTGCTGCTGTGGCTTTTAGGCTTTAGAGCAGGGGCCCTCAAACTTTGTAAACAGGGGGCCAGTTCACTGTCCCTCAGACCGTTGGAGGGCTGGACTATAGTTTTTAAAAAACTATGAACAAATTCCTGTGCACACTGCACATATCTTATTTTGAAGTAAAAAAAACAAACCAGCATAAACACCGCATGTGGCCCTCAGGCTGTAGTTTGAGGACACCTGCTTTAGAGTGACCAAGAACCACCTGAGAACTGGATATCCCCATCTTGAGCAAGCAGCCTGGCACCGAGGACTGCGGCGGGGGCACTCCACAGAACCGCTGGCATCGTCGCCCTCTGGTGCAAGACTCTGGGGAGAGAGCGGAGGGGTACCTATGGGGGCAGGGACACAACTGTCCTAAAGTCTGAGGAATAATTTTAAGTTCTCCTCAAAACACATTTACTCTCTCATTCAAGTTTGACCCAGATAGGACCCTGAGGTAGCGAGGTGGCAAACGTCCAGGCTTCTAAATGCATTAGTGTTATTTTATCCCAGCAAAAATCAGAGCGTCCTGCCTGGCTGCAGGTGACCTGACATCATTTTGAAGCTCAAAATGATTAGATGACCCTAGAGTGAGGGTGGGAAAGAAAAAAGTTTCTGGAATTGATCCAGAATTGATCTAATAAAGTGATTTGAGATCCAACAAGTCCTAATGTACTTCTAGCAGTGTCCAATAAAGTACTTTTTAAAGAAATGCTGAATATTTAAAAAGTAGTGAAATTAGAAATAGATGCAACAAAACTTCTTTTTTGCTTGTGAAAACGCTGCAAAACTGATGGAGCTTTATCTGAGAATAATCTATAGCATGAGGGGGAAAGGAAATTGTTTATTTTATAGTTATAAGTTGGTTTTTAAATTGCATTAAGTTGTCAAAAAGCTATCTGGAAGAAATAATCAAATCTAACTTTTTTTCCAAACCCTAAAGCAATCTTATTCCTAAAATAAATGCAAAAAAATATGTCTTACGTTTGTTGTTGAAGATCTGTCTTCCACCCGTGTCGATGACTTTGGTTTGCCTCCTTTCCCCCGCGAGGTGCTCCAGCAGAAACCTGTCCAGCTCTTTGTAGGTGTTGTGGAAAACGCAGCCTCGCTCAGCCTGCAGGGCAATTGCCTGCTCCAGCAAACTTAGGTTCCCCTTCGCTTTCTCCAGGTCACTGGACTCTTCCGTCACTGCTGCCAGGCTCTTGCCATCTTCTTCCTCAATCTCAGGGAATGAAGATTGGGCTTTGCCATCCAAGGCTTCCACCTGAGCATTCTGTGGGTCTCTCCTTTCCGTTTCAGAATCACACCTGTTCTCACAAGGGATAAATTTGTCACCTTCGGTTTTTATTTCAGGAACTTCCAATAGGTCTTTTTGATTATCCACTAAAACGTACTTTGCGACTCCAGGTGGCTTGGTTTCTTCTGAGAAGTTGGAGCCACTGTCCCAGCCATTCTCCGCACCTTCAGAGTTACTGTCGTTGTCATCAGAGGAGCAGAGCCGCGGCTGGGAATCATCGATTTTGTCTCTTCCTTCATCGGAATGAATCATAAAGCACTCATCTGCTTCATCACTCTCTGCTTTTAAAGACTGGATGCCACTGTCATTTAAGTTGTCACTTAGAGTCTGAACAGAAACATTTTTTTCAAATTTCTCCAAGTGCATTAAAGATTTGACCACGAGCTCTTGATAACAAGTGTATCTGTCTTCATTCTTATGGGAGTTTTCTTGTGCAGCTGAGTGAAGGTTTTCATCTATAGGTTTTATCATTATTTCTTCTATGAAAAAAGAAAACCAATATTTGAAAAACAAGAACAAAAATATTTTAAGAAAATTGCACCAAGTTATATATATGAATGTATATATATTTCATATGTATAATATGTGGTCTCTGCCAATTTTATAAACATTAGTAAGAAAAATAGATATCTTCTTAAAATAAAACATAACTTAGATCTTAATATTTTGATATTTTCCTTTAAAGAAATGAGCTATCATAATTTTCAACATATTAAGAGCTAAGTGCTTCTAGGGTACTGACCAACACAAGGAGTAGATACTTCACAATAATAATAGAGTGCTGAATACAAAATTATTGTTACTGTACTCTATATTCCCAAATCTTGGCCAAATAGAAGAAAATTGGGTATTCGTAACACTATACATTGTAAGGAAAATATTCATCAGATTCTCTATTGGGGTGGCAATGCTTATTCACAGCTTATTTGCTTTATGTTCTTTACTCTCTATACCTTCTTTTTGTACTTTCAGACTTTATGGAATGTTAGTTAAAATACAAAATACATCTACTCAGAGATGATAACTAAAAGAATTCTGAGGCATTCAGGACTTCCTGTTGAGTTTTTTAATTGTTGCACTAAAATTCCATATTTTGAGGAAAACACAAATGGGAAAATTAGCATGATCAAGTACTATCTTGAATAGTATCACATTTTTTGTCTGTTAATTTGCACACATTTGTGTAGAAAGGAAATGAGAGGAGGCGGGATGGTTGGGGGATGCCACACGTTAGCTAGTTGTTCTCAGGACAAAGCCATCTTGGGTCTTGACTGTCACAGTACCCGGTGACCCAGAGGAGGTCACGTGTCTGTTTGTCCAGGACAGCCCATGGGGTAGCTACTGTCCCAGGTAGCTTTTGTTTTCAGTGTCACTGCCTTCGTGCTGGTAATGGCCCAGCTGGGGTGACAGATTATACAGTCAGCCTCCCCAGGCCTGTTCCGGGGCAAACACACCAAATGAGGGCGTGGGTTTGCTGGCGACACCAGCCAAGGCCCAGGCACGTGGGGTGGTGCCCAGCACACGCCAGGCTGCGAAGTGTGCCAGCCACCCAGCGACGGTCCTCTGACATCCAAAAAAAAAAAAGAAGAAGAAGAAGAAGGGCCATTTCTGTGTCTCAAAGGCAGAGTAGGGGGATGGGAAGCACAAAATAATAAGCCCCCTTAAAGCCTGTTAAAGACACCAAGTGAGGAGCATTCTGTGTTAATGAGCATCTTCGGAGGGAAGAAAGGCAAGCCATCGGTGTGAGGGCTGAGGGACAGGGCGTCTGTGCGGAAGACAATGTGCCTTTTTTGGTCTCATTTAATTTTTTATAAACATTGTCTCTGACAAGGACACTCAAAAATACATCTCCATCATCTTCCTTTCTGGTAATTATCTCCCTAAATCAACACTGGACTGCCAGGATCAAGTAAATATTGCCATAGTAACTAAAAGCATTTTTGGATGAAGGGAAGAATTTAGTCACAACACTAGCCTCTGTAAATAATGCTGATTATAGGGTGCAGTCTTTTGTTGGGATCTATTCAACATAAACTGAAAAATTTAACATTTTAGTTCCTAGAAAAGAGGCTGGATAAACAAGCACATAATATTTGATAGGATGGCCTATCCTCTCTTGAATTCATAGCAGAGGAACTCCAGGTTTAAATAATATATTAAACATAGTCTAAAATGCAAATGAAGTTTTTCTCAATATCACGGTTGGCTATTAAGAGAAAGTGTAAAGGGTTATGATAATTTTAAAGTATTATGAACTACAGAAAACAAATAAAAAGCATTTTCAGTGAATATGCTCAATTCATTGAACTATTCTCTCACTCCACTTAACTACCCACATGTGTACGATAATGATTTATAGACATTATACCTAATTATGCATATTTGGGCTGTGTTAGAGTGCTAACAAAAGCTCTAGAAAGCAACAATTACCTCTGTTGCTTAGCTACATAGTTTAAAATATTCCTATTAAGTGCAGATCACCAGAGAGGCGGGAGTGACAAAAATGCACATGTGCACGACAATGCATTTCACTGTGCCGCTGCCAACTGCTAGCATTTTGGGTCATTTCCAGTTTACATAATTGTTTGGTTCAACTGTTTGTTATATGCTAAAAGAAAATATTTATTAATTATTCTTCAGAAAAAGAGGAGCCCTGCCGCCAGAGGTGCCGCCGTGCATCACGCGCTCTGGTTTCTAGGGAAGGTTCTGCAAACCTGCAAACCAGCTTTCCACGTTCTCGCCCTCCCTGGCTTCCCTGCAGCCAAAAGGAGAGAGTTGTGTTAGCTTTAGACCTGACAGGTCCGTGCCGAGGAGCTTGTCCTCCCGGCTTTGTGCTGGGCTGCCCCTGCTTTCTGAGGCTGCTGTGCTGTCACTTTCCCCAGAGGCCTGCTGAGGTACGTTGTGCCTCTCTCACTGCGAAAACTAAAGGCGAGCTGCCTTTGGAGTCGGGTGCAGCTGGGCTCGAGTTCTGCCCCTGGCCCTGCTCTGTGCGCTCTCAGACGGGTCGCTTCGGCCGTCTCAGCCTGGCGTCTCCGCCCGCACCTTGAGGACGACAGTATCGCCCTGGGTGAGCGCCGGGTTCCGCAGGCGCACCCAGCAGTGTTCAGTAAACGGTGGCTCCCTTCCCTCTGCCCAGACGCCACTTTGGAAGACAGTAGTGGCAGGGGATAACTTGGACCCTTGGCATCAATGAGGTGGCCTGTTTTTCATTTAGAATAATTAGTAAAATTCACCCCTAAGGAAGGGCAGTGGCCACAGAGTTAAGAAGGCTCAGCTCGGTTCACGGCCTGCTCCTCGGCACGCATGGCACTGACGCATGGCACTGCGCACCTGCTGCCGGGAAGCCCGGAGCCAGCGCACGGTGCGCAGTGTGCGGCAGACGCTCCAGGGCGCTGAGGTCTGGAGACTGGGGTCGTGCTGCCGGCCTGGCCCTGCCCTGCCCGCGTCTGACCTTGGACAGGCCCATGGCTCCTGAGTCTAGGTCCTCATCTTCAAAACGAGGATGACCCAATAGCCCAATGACTGGATGATCCAACAGTGTTTTCTAGGGCGACTGATATATTCCTGGCATCTTCTGTTCTTTATTTCATGTAATCTTCACAACAACTGCAAGAAAGGCACTTGCTACTCCATTTTACAGAAGGGAAATTACAGGTCTAGCGAGCTAAGGGCTTGCACAAGACCACGCGACCACACGGCTGGCCAGTGGAGCGCTGACACCCAGCCCCAGAGCCGCACGCGTGCCCTCCTGGCGCCGGGCTACCCAGATCTGACAGCCACAGATGCCTTGTCACGCTGCATATTCACACATCACAACAACCCTTAGGAGAAACTGCTAAGAATGCTATTAGCCTATTACTTTCCGAGGTTTGGATATTTTCAAGAGTGGCTTTACATGAAGATGCTAGACTGCAACTGTCAGCTAACTTTCTATGAGAAAAACAATGATCTCAAATTATAAATATAACAATATGTAAAAACAAATAAGCAACACAACAAAACTAACAAATAACTCGACCTTAACTTTCTTACTGCTACAATGATAATAGGTCAGAAAATTCCTAGGGGCATTTTCCTGGCCCGAGATAGACTGTTAGCCAGCACGCAGACCTTTCTCCACCCTGAGTGCATTTCAAAGTGTGGAGGAGGGAGGAGGAGCTGCAGCCACAATGTTTTCCTTGTATATGGAGGAAAAAAATGCCTTTGCCTGATACAATCCAATTTGCTTCTTTACTTTAAACCAAGGTCTCTAAGTTGTCTGGTAATCCCATAAGTATATGCTAATAAATTCTTGCATATACGTCTGGTGTTCTGCATCAAAACAACTTTAAAAATCCCCTGAAAATCACAACACGTTTTGAGTTTGAGTCTTCAGTATCACTGGATTTGACTATAATTGGATTGCAGCTCTGTTTCTGTAACTAGCTAGGTTACTTTTATAGGTAAATTAGCTTTCTAGGCTTCTTTGGATATGCAAATTTTACTGGGAATAAAAACCCTAGATAAATGAATTCATCTTTCAAAGTCCTGGAATTGGAGTGGCTTATGCTTTATTTGCTATTTGTCAAGAGATAATATGTGTTAAAAGTATCATCCCAGCCACTAGAACTTCTATCGCTGTGACAGATTTCCCCAAATCACGAGCGTGTGTTTATGTTGCGGGGACTCCATACCCTGGCTTGGTTAATCTCACTTCCAGGTGACTCTCATTTTCCTGTCTGTGCTGGGAAAGCTAGCGTTTGTCTTTCCTCCTGGTAGTACTTTGCCAGCTCATCTTCCCAGTGAAGAAGGTATCTCTGCATGGTTTTGTCCATGTTCTCTTCTATCCCCCTTCATGCCCATCTGCATATCTTTGAAAGACAGCTGGTTGTTGAGGGTATGGGTGTAGTTTGTGGCATAAAACAGAATAAAAACTTCACAGGACTCAAGCTCATGACCTCAGCCTTCATGAGCACTGTACCAACTGAACTTCCCAACTGATGATATTGTTGGGCACGCAGCCCAAGGGGAAAGACTTGGGGCACCTGGAGTAAATGAGCAGCTAGATGAAATACTCCATGCTGGGCTTGGCACTAACTCAGGTCTTTTTCCTCTGGGGGGGGGGGTAGAGATGGAAGGTAACTTGCTCAGAGGACTGAAAGCAACTTAGAATTTTTGCTTTTTTGACCAGTGTTAGGATCGGCCATTTCAGGAAATTGTGACTTCATGATGTGACACTGTAGGAACTTTGCCCAGTTTGCATTCTGAAGTTGGTTGGAGCAAGGGGACAATTGAATTATAGAGCACGGTTAGCTGGGAAACAATTATTTTGCTTGTCCTTCCAATTGTTTCCTAATTATCTTCCTTCCAACGCCTACAAGCTGCATTGACTTCAGCATTGAATCTCTTCAATCCCCAACGATCTCAACATGTAAAACTGTGCCCATAGTCACACACACGCGTGGCATTATTGTGAGGATTAAGTGACATAATTTATGTGCCTAAAATATATTAAAGAACTCAAAAATAATGGTCACTACTGCTGTAATTTCAGCATATTCATCATTAGTAGTAGTGGTTCTAATATTAAATATAAAGGTAGTTAATTTATTTTTGTGAACCTGAAAATAGACAGATGCCCATCAGTGCTTAGCTGAATATTTAACTGGCGTATATAACTTGGTTAATATTAAACATATACAGTGATCAACAAACCACAACAGAAGGCCGTCACTCAGTGAGCCAGGTACAGTCAGTCTGTCCTCACCGCACTCACAAGAATGTGTTGAGGCAAAAGTGTGCTCATTTTCTTAACTATTTGGCTAATTGATGCCAGCTTAGATACGTTATACCTAACAACAGTAAGTCAAGGACTTTCCCAAGTACTAGATTCAACCTGCAATTTTCATGAATCAAGAAATAAAACTGACCAGCTCAAGGAAACAAAGAATGTCAAGGATGGTTATAATTTCAAGATGAGCCATGAAATTTTAAATCACATGCTAAATACAGAAAAACCAGAAAATTAGAATACAACTTTGTTTTAACCCCAGAATCTCAAACTACTTCTAAGCCAAGATTACTGGAGATGATTCTGATCTGAGATTTGCGCTCACTCAGTCAATATACTTCTACATATTATTTTCTATTAATACTTATTGTTAACTATTAATATAATTCTATATGCCATAAATATTTATGACTTAAGAATCTCATTGCCTTTTGCTTGTATAATAAATACTTCTTTTCAAATAACAAACTATTTAGTAGATTTTGATTTTTTAAAAACTCACATTCATAAAAAGATATTTAGTAGAACATACAACTAATTTCATTTTCTACTAAAACAAGCTTTAGATCTTAATTTTTTTCACAATTTTTGAGATGTTTTTTTTTTGCATGATCCCCAACTTCAGCCTCATGCACAAAGCGATGAGTGATATTCTGATTCCTAGATGCATGTGACTACCAGGGACTAATGGGAATAACTGTCGACTGGAGAAAATGAATTCTAAAGTTTCAAAATAGTAATTACATTTCACTTAGTATGCAAAGGGTGTTTGATGAGTGAGTGAAGAATTGAATCAATGAAATAAATGTGTGCCTAAAGGGAAATTTGAATGATTTATTTTGGAAATAATGGGCACAGTGATACATTTTCTATAATACATCATTTCCCTACTGAAGGACACTCTACTCAGACAACTTTAGGTTGCTTCTACAGCTCATTGCTATAAACGTTTATTCAAAATATATTAAAAATATTAAGGCCACAGACCATCTGTATTGGTCCATGTTGTTATTGCCAATTAAATTTTTAGAACAAATAATATTATATATGTTTTTATTTTAAATAAAAAATAAATGTTTTAGATATATATTCTATATCTATATCACAATCATTAACAAACATTATATAGAACTTGATCATTGAAAATGTATCTTAAAGGTTAAATATGCCCTTGAATTTGAAGAATCCTTTCAGGAATTTGACATCCATCCTATAAGAAAGACAAAGTACTTTTTCAATTTTAAGGCTTAATATTTTTTATTTTTTCAAATAGAGGTGTAATCTAATCCTCTGCTTTGAAAGTGGATAGAGTAGGTTAAGGACCCTCTGTTGCTTATCTATAGACCCTCAACAGTTACTGATAAAAAAAAAAATGGGCCCGCAATAAATGGATGTTGAGTGAAATAAATGTTTGGTTTTGCTTCCAAATTCAAATATATTTTTACAACCACATAAACCATATGTTCTATGTAAATTAGGACTAAGTGCTCAGTGCTAGGGAATAGGAAAGGTCTGGGTACGTTTCTTTGCTACCTGCAGTGGAGTGATCACGTGTTTCCAAGAGGCTGTCCTCATCCGTCCTGTCACCGCGGTCTTCCTGGCAGTCCGTGCTTGGGCTGTAGTGTCGGGGCTTCATTAGCAGAGATTTCCTTTTGTTGACTGGGACCCCCATAGCCTGGTCTTCAGCTCTCCTCTTCTTTGCCATGGAGCACTCATATGCAACACTGTAGTGATGGAGGCAAATTAAGAATATGGTAAACTAGTGTTTGCTGCTGTTTGGCATCTGACTTTCACAAAGTCTAACCCAAAGCTTTCGGAAACTAGGGACTAGACGTTTAGGGTTAGTAGTTGGCACTAACGAAAACAGTCCATCCGTGGAATCCACTGGACTGTGTGGATTCTATTTTACTGCCTATCAGAAGAGTTAAAAAAAAATCATCCTTAATCCTGAGTAAGCATATGTTAATCTGTGCTTTGCTTGGCACTACACTAAATACCCAAGGAGGGATGAAACAAGATTTGCCCTGGTTTGCTAATCCTAAGAAACAGCTAATGTGAAAAATATACCACCAGATACAAAAAAAAAATGTGTCCAGTATGGATAAGTTACAAGGTTTTTCAGATAGTTGTTTGCTACTGAACCTGCTTATCTGTGCCACAGTTGCGGGCTCAAACTTGAAATGGCACACGTTGAGGCTTTGACCAGAAAGAAAGGCTCACCGCACGAGGAGCGAGCTCTGAACATCCAGTCACCAAAACCAAGCAAGAGTGGAAAGATGCTCCATGGCATTCTGCCCTTTGATTCTCACTCATTTGGCTCACAGAACAAATAAAAGGAGGAGAAAGAAGAGTGGATTTCACAACAAAATGGACAATGGTTTATCCTCACTCCTGTTCTCATGGTGTTATTTGAAAATGCTCCTGAGGGTGGCCCCTTCAAAGTAGATTTCCTCCATAGAGCTCACTCGGAATTAGTGCGGATCACGCTCTGTGTGAAGCTAAGACAAACATTTTCTTGGCAAGAGCCATGAAAATCAGTTTGGCCAACAGTCTATAAGAGATATTTATTAAATGCTCTTTGAAGACAAATGCTGGAGCTTTTGATGAAAAGATCCAGAGACGAGAATTCCAGACTCAGGGTAACAGGATGTTACTTACCCATTTCTAAAAGAAGATTGAATTCTCAGTAACATTATTAATACTAAACCAAGGTCTTCGTTGTTCTCTTACAAATATCAATGCAAAGAAAGTGACTTGTTCATGAAAACGATTTGGGAACAGTCATACATAAACTCTTGAATTTAGTGGAGTAGATTCAAAACCTTGCAAGGTGAGGAGGGGGAGATGTCATTCCTTCTGAGAAAATAAAAGCTTCTGGAAGGAGAGATCATTTAAGAGTTAGAAATCTCTCAAGAAAGAGTAAATGTTGGAGAACTGCAAATTATCCTGATGGACAAGAGAAGAATGAAGTTTCTAAATCAACCAATGTGCTTTCACAAAATTTGTCCGACAAGCCCAAATTTAATGTGACCGAGTACAGAAGAGAACATAACCAGACGGCGACGAGAGCACCCTGGCCTTTACAGGAAGACGTGCAGACCGGGCGCCCGCGCGGACCGACCTGCTGGCTGGTAGGGAACGCGGGGCGCCGGGTGAGGGGGCCGGCCGGCAGCAAGCGCCCTTCCCGCGCCTCCTCTGTCACAGGAGACTGGCTTGGAAGGGGCAGGGGCAGCAGACACATACCAAAGGGAGATGAAGTTCCGAGTTATGTGAAGAGAGTTCAATTTCCTAAAGGAGTTAAAGTGCCCTAAATCAAATGACTTTCCACCAGAAAAATATCCTCAGAAAATACATAAGTAAGATCACTAAGCTACTATAACGAACCAAGATTTGTAGGAAATGGAAGGGGCTCCTATATCTTTCAGGTATTAAAACAGGGAAAGAAAGTGGATTCTAAAAACCATAGTGATTTAAGCATAACATTGGCACTGGGAAAGAGGCTAACAAAGTGTATTAAAATGAAGATGTGTCTGGATCCTGATTTCAATTCTTTTGCATCAATACCTAGAGTGGGGCTGCTGGTTCATGTGGTGGTTTTAGTTTTAAGGCCCCTCTGTACTGTTTCCTATGTTCCTTGCAATGCTATGTTCACTGCAGCATTATCTACAATAGCCGAAATACGGAAACAACCCAAGTGTCCCTGGACGGATGAATGGACAAAGGAAATACACGTGGCGTATACATGCAATGAGACACTATTCGATCTTAAACGAGTAGGAGATGCTGCACTATGCAAAACATGGACGAAGCTTGAGGACATTATTCTAAGGGAAATAAGCCAGACAGAAAGACAAAAACTGTGTGATCTCATTTATCTGAGGCATCTAAAGTGGTCAAATTCATAGAATCAAAGAGTGGGACCATGTTTACCAAGGGCTGGGGGCAGGAAAATGAGGAATGACCAATCAGCAGGCATAAAGTTTCAGCCGAGCCAGATAAATAAGCTGTAGAACTCTGTGGTACAACAGTGTGTCCAGAGTCAACAATAGTGTATTGCAGACTTAAACATTTGTTAGGAGGGTGGGTCTCACACTAAATGTTCTTACCACAAAAAAAAAAAAAAAAAAAAATTAAAAAGAAGGAGGAGGAGGAGGAGGAAAAGGTTTGCTGGCCCCAGGAGGCATTGATCAATGAGACCTGAGGTGGCAGGGGGGTTAATAAGGGATTGATTGGTTAGTCAGGAAAACGTCATTTCTTTATTTGATGATTGGGGTGATAAAGGGGCTGAACTCATTCTGAGATCCTTACAAACTGTATCTTGCTAATATTATTGTCCCAATTTACTTACAGAGACAAGTAACATTCCCACAATCACATAGCTGGCAATTGGTGGGGCGGATGTTTGAAGCCAAGACTACTGGGCCCCAAAGCACATGCCCTCTCTTCCATGTTGCCAGATGAAGACTACAGATGTGGGTAATTTCTGGATGTGTTTGACAACTCGCTGAAGCAGGCCTGGATAAATCTGTGGCCTCTCTGAGTGCAAGGAAGCTTCCTGCTGCAAGGCCTTGACCGGCGATTTGGGCGGGGATGTGAAAACTGTCATTCTGTCTGGAGAAGATACCAGTGGCAGCAATGAAAACACATCACGAAACATAACTAAGGCCCTCCCCAATGTCCATAGACTGGAGCAACAGCATGAGCCCAGTGAGATGGCACTTGCTGGCAATGAAGAGTTTAATATTGGGTCCAAATAGGCACTGTGCAAGGTGGGATGAAGAGGATATCAAAAAAGGGGGTTTATCAAAGTACAAGTTCAACTTACAATGAATTCTTGTATTTAATAATAAGGGAATATGAAATTGCTTAAGTAATACTAGCTGTGCAATCTGAAATAAAGAGTTGACCATTCCGGAATATCAAATTCCTCATCTACCAAATAGGGCTAATAATTTCTATATCACATGTTCTGTGGATGAAAGAGACAGCATCTGTGCTGGTAGTGACAAAGACAGGTAAAGGTAGGACTGTTCTGACTCCTGGCTCAGGGCTCTTCAGACGCCACTGACACCGTCTGACACTGTCACTTCGCAGCCTCACAAACGCTCGCTGGCACACTCCCCAATTCATGTATCCATGTATGTCCATAAATGCATTTCACTTTTAACACTTGATTTATATTTACATAAACTGCATTAGATCTGCACACAAAATTTGCTTTAAATCTCACATTCTGTGCATTTCTCCACTGGAAAGTATCCACGGCCCAGGCAGCATTTGGAACTAAAATGAAAGGCTTCATAATAAATATTACCCTTTGTGTGTGCATGGAAAATGGCCCCTTTTCCTAGTTTTCCCTGAGGGCGCACTATCTTGGCTTTATTGTGACACTTCGCTGTGACACTGCAATGAGGGAAAGCCATGCTTTACATGTCACTGAGAGAAATGCCACAAAATGCTAACGTATCTTCTCAGGTTGCCAGAAATCATTTCCACTGGGTTGTGTTTTCCCATCTGCGGAGCTCTGAAATGTTAAGGAAATAAATGAGCTCTATTATCTATATTTTCCTAGTAGATGAGAAAGAAAGAGAAAAAATACACTCAGCCCTGCATTTATTGTTCTATTCAATCAAACTGTTGCTTTAAACATCCAGACTCCCCCAGGGAACTTTATCAATGCACCGAGTATCTTTGGATGCCGTATTTCAGCTTTTGATTTTATTAAAATATCTTTAAAGAATCCATATTTTTACCTGAGAGAAACTTTTTGGTTACATATTTGAGAAATGCTTCCATTTAGAAAATTGAACTCTAATTTGAATCAGCAGTCCCTTTGAAGGCAACATATGACTGAAATTGTTATTGAAAAATCACTGAAGCAAACCATAACTATTAATAATAAATTCAATGCTGGAAGTGTGCTTTTAGAAGTCAAATTCATTGACCTTTCAGGTTTCAGGAAAGCTACAAGAAGCTATGAAACTGTAAATCCCCAATATCTGTCCAATAAGCAGTGTTTCAGCTTGTCTTCCTTAGTAATAAATTCTCATTGCAAGTTATCAGAAAATACATAACAAATTTTTTAAAATGTAGATTTAGGAATAGATATATTCTGTGCACACCCCCCAAAAGAATAAAATAAAAAAATAAATAAAGTTTATGAACTTTTGAGTCCAAGGAAAACATTTACATGCTCCAATATTTTCATGAAAAATTCATAGCAGGTATTCCTACTGATTTCTTCTAATTAGGCAGAACATCATAGACTCATTGAAAGAGGCTGGGAAGTATGAATTTGAATAAAGACTAAGAAGATTGACAGAAAAAAAACAAAAGTATGATGATGGAAAAAGAAAAAATTAAACTATTATTATTTGCAGAGGCAAAATAGTGTTTGAGGAAAATCCAAAAGAATCTACAGATACAATTTTAAAATAAGTAAGTAAATTCAGTGAGTTCACTATACAATAATTGCAATTATATAAATCAGCAACAAACAATTAGAAAATAAATTTACAATAGTATTGAAATATGAAATACATAGGAATAAATCTATCAGCTGTGCAAGACCTACACACAATAAAGAACATTGAAAAAATTAATGAAGACCTAAATAAATTGAGAGATGTAAAATGTTCATGGACTAAAAACAAGATTTGAATTCTGTACAAATTTCTCTATTAGATTCAATGTAATCCCTATCAAAACCTCCAGAAGATTTTTTTTTTAGAAATTAACAGGTTAATTCTACAATTTCTGTGGAAATAAAAAGAATGAGCATAGCAAAGACAATCTTTAAAAAGAATGACAACAAAGACTTTTAGTCGTGGATGTGAAAGCTTATCGTAAAACTACAGCACTTGAGATAGGATGTTATTGGGGAAAACATAAACAAGAAGACCAATGGAACAGGACAGATGTTCCATCTATTGGGTCCAGAAATACAACCACACATTTCTAGTCAATTTATGACAAAGGTGTCATTGGGGAAAAGGTGTTTTTTAGTGAATGATGCCAGGTCAATTGGATATCTATTTGAAAAAAAAGATTTCTCTACTTGTACCTCATAGTATATACAACAAACAACTGCAGAAGTATTATGGATTTAAAACTTTCCCTGTAAAATAATAAATCTCCAAGAAGAAATTGTGAGACAATATCTTCATGACTTCGGGGTATTCAAAGATTTTTCAAGCAGCTTATAAACAACACTCATTTAAAGAAAAAGATAAGTTAGAACACATTAAAATGAAATCTTGATTTATCATAAGATACCAACCAGTAAGGGGAGTGTCCTGTCAGTATTCTATTTCTGGATCAGTTCACATAAGCATCTTCAGGTTGTGGAAAGTCATTGAGCTCTGCCCTTTTCATATGGACACTCTGCCATGTGTGTTTTATGCTCTTTAAAACAGTTGTCAAAAGATTATTATGAGTGAAAAATCAAGCCAGGGAGTAAGAGAAGGTATTTGCAATACATTATCAGAAAAGGACTTATATACAGAATATATGAACAATTTGGAGATATATAAAGTACATAAAAAATAAGAAATAGTCTGCCAATTTAAAAACTAGGCAAAAGGCTTGGGCAGTCGCTTCACAAAAGAACATTTGGCAGATACACAAATGAAGAGGCACTCAGACTCTTTCGTCTCCAGAGAAATGCAAAAACTCACAATTGGTACTGCTCATACCCACTGGGATGGCTAAAATGAAGAACTGACAACCTCAAATGTCAGGGAGGATGTCAAGCAACTGCAACTCAGGTGTAGTAAATTGGTATGTTTGCTTTGGAAATTGCTGGCCTGTATCTACTAAAGCTGAACGTATATCTAACCTACAGCCCAGAAATTCCACTCTTACATTTACACCTGAAAGAAGTGTGTCCACATGTGCACCAAAAGGTACCTTCAGTTCATAGCAGCAATCTGTCCAAAACTGGAAACATCACACCGTCCTTTGACTGTAGAATGAGGAAAGCATGGTGGAATATTCACATCCCTGAATATGCTACAGCCATGAGAAAAAGGCAATTGTTGGTAAGAATAATGCTGATGAATTCCATAAGCATACCACTGGATGAAAGAACCCAGACAGCAAAGGAATACAGACCTGAAATCCGAAACCAGCACAATGAATCCACATGGGAGAAGTCAGGAGAGCGGTTACTTGTGTGAGGGAGGACACGCTGGGAGGTGGGAATGGGACTTCTGGGATGCTGACTAAGTCTGCTTCTAGCTCTGGGTGGTGGTTTCATGAGTGTGTTCACCTGGTAAAAATTTGTAAAGCTATACCCACATAATTTGTGCATTTTTCTGTATGTTTGTTATGCCTCAATAAAACATTACATTAAAAAATAATATTAACAGATCCATTTGCAGCCTGATATCATGTTCAGTCCATGTGAGTTGCAAATTTCTTTAATTGCCAGAATATTGACAGACTCAAGGTCAAAGGTCCTGACTTCAAGTATAAATTCTTAATTCAGTGGAGCTAATGATAACCAGTAAGATTTAGCCAGTACTTACAATGTGCCCGGGAGTGTTCTAAGTCGTTTACATGTGTCAACCCACTGCAGTCTTGTAATGACACGCTCAGGTTGGCGCTGTTTGATCTCTAAAGCTCAGAGGGGCTACTTTGTCAGATATCAAACAGCCATTAATGAAAGTGCCCAGATTTGAACCCAGGCATTCTGGGCCTAAATTCTGCCTATTAATTAATATTTATTATTATCCTTCAAATTAGCTGTATCGTACTATTCAATGATTTAATGAACAGATATTATGACTGAATCCAGTGAATGAACACTACCAGTGATGGAAGAACATAAAAAGCTTTCCAAATTATCAGTCTGACTTTTGTAGAGGTTAGAATTAAAGCCAATTGATGAACTTTATTTGGTTTACAATTATAATCCTCAACTTTTTCTTAAAGAAGAATAGACCAATATGTTGAGATATTAGTGGAGAAAATTTTTTTGACCTAGGAAAGGACAGGCAAGATGAGGCATGATTAAAGGTAGATGAAGGTGAT